TAAAACGATAGATATATATTTATTTCATTGTCCAATATTGTCCTTAACAGTTATTATTATTATTATTATTATTATTAGAATTAGAATTACACATGTATACCATTAGAGATAAATTATTTAACTTTTGTTTTCTAAAGTCAATAATTTTATTATTTAACAATAATTTCATTAAGAATTTAAACGGTAGGAAAAATAATATTTACATATACAATGTAAAGAATATTGCAATTTTATACAATAATAAGCCTCTTATCCCCCCATGTATCATGCTGTGAATATTTTTCCCTACAAGAAAATCATAAAATTTTCAACGAGAAAATTTACCTTTTCAATATTATATATGTATAATCTTCTGGTCAAGAAATTTGACATTTTTACATGAAAATCTGAGAAGTAAAGAGATTTATTGATGTTTAAAACTCTTATTTTTATTTTAAGGGTATAGTAAAAGAAAAATTTTTCCCGTTTCCGAATTAGGTATATTATTATTATTATTATTATGTTTAACTAGAGGAAAAAGATAGGAAAAATAATAAAATGCGAAATCTACGCAATATGTAGTTGATGAAAGAAATAATTTATAAGTTTAGAAAAAAAAGGAAAAATAGACGAAAACATTTGAATCATGTTTATTTCAGTCGAAAATTTAGATTAAGAGATAAATATAATTTTTATTTATATATATATATGTATATAATCAGTGTAGTTTTTAGTTTCTAATTAGTAATTTTTAACTAATTAATTTATTATTTAATTTTTAGCAATTTTTAATCACTAGTTTAAATTTTTAATACAAAAATAGTAATTTTAATTAATAATTAGCAGATTTTAGATGTAAATTAGTAATTTTTACAGCTAAATTTACACAGAAAATTAAAAGTCATTAAAATAAGCTGCAACGCTTATTATTTTAATCCAATTTTGGATTTAATCCATTTTGGTATTAAAATAAGCAAAATTGGATTAAAATAATAAGCGTTGCAGCTTATTTTAATGCCTTTTCATTTTCTGTGTATTTACTAAATAAAATAATTAAAATTAAAAAAAAAATTAAAAAAATCAAAATTATTAAAACAAATTTATTTGTACTAATAATTAGCAGATTTTAATTGTTAATTAGTATATATTTTAACTGATAAGTATAGCTGTTACAATAATTATTAGTTACTTTTTAACCAATAATTAGTACACTGAAAAAAATTTATTTGTTTCAAGTAAACGGTTATTAGACTATTATCAAAAATAAATATTTATTTGAACCAAATAATTTTGATTTGAACCAAATAAATGTTTATTTGAACCAAATAATTTTGATTTGAACCAAATAAATGTTTAATTAAACCAAATAATTTTTATTTGAACCAATAATTTCTGTATTTAAAACAAATACCATTTAATTGAATCAAAAAAAATTATTTGTTTTAAGTAAATATTTATTTGATAGTAATAATCGATTATTTTAATGAAATAAATTATTTCTTCAATGTAAATTTGTGTTATTCATTCATAATTTTGATGAAAAAATCATTAATTTTAATTAAAATAGTGTTAACTATAATAATTAGCAGTTTTTAGTTTGCTAATTAGTCGTATCGTAACTAATAATTAGTAATTTTTAGCTTCATTTAATTAGTCGGAATAAATTCTTTTTTTTTGATTGAAAAAAATATTTAATTTTAATTAAAAGTAGTTCTAATTAATAATTTGCAGTTTTTATTTACTAATTAGTCGTTTCGTAACTAATAATTAGTTATTTTTGACTATTAATTAGTAGATTTGAATTTTTAACTAATAATTGTTGAAATTATTCAAAACTTAAATAAAAAATAAATTACAGTAAAGGTTAAAAAATTATTGCTAATAATTGGTTTTTAACTAATAATCATTAGTATTTTGTTAGTAGTTTGTACTCTCTAAATCTGAATTAGTAAAAATGTTTACTATAATTTTAATTAGTGACTCACTTTTTGCTTCTAAATTAGTAAAATTTTACTAATTATTAATAACTTTTACTAATAATTAGTAAAATTTTACTAATTCAGAAGCAAAAAGTGAGTCACTAATTAAAATTAGTAAACATTTTTACTAATTCAGATCTAGAGAGTAATGTTTGAAATAATAATTAGTAATTTTAATAGTAGTTTTAACTATCAATTTCCATTTTATAATTCGAATTTTTAACTACACAGAAAATTAAAAGGTATTAAAATAAGCTTATTATTTTAATCCAATTTTGCTTATTTTAATCCATTTTGGTATTAAAATAAGCAAAATTGGATTAAAATAAGAAGCATTGCAGCTTATTTTAATACCTTATAATTTTCTCTGTAATAATTTAGTTTTGAACTGAAACTGAATTTTACCTACTCGTTTTTTATAATATGCTAATTAGTATTTTTTTAAATTATTACTAATTTGTAGTATAACTTTCAATTATAATTATACCAAAAATAATGGTACTTTTATTATTTTATTTATATCTATTACTTATTATTCGCGGAAAAAAATCTTTATCTGGAACAATGAATTGTTTCTCTAGATTAGCGAAAACTTTATAGCTGTTTTAATGAAATACATACAATCGCTGTTTCAGTGAAATTTATCGCTGTTCCAGGTGAAAATTTCTTTAGTGCAATAATTAGGACCTCATTAGCAATTTAAACTAAAATAATTAAGCCTAATTAAAAAAGAAAAAAATTAATATAAAAATAAAATAAATACTTTCAAATTGGAAAGTAAATAAAAAAAAAATAAACAAATTGTCGAGTCAAGGACCTGACACTGCGTTGGGATATATGGTAAAGGTCCAATTTCTTTCCTTTTTGGACCAACATAGCAACAGTCTTCGACTTTGGCAAAAAAAAGGGTGATTGTGCGTTTAAGTGTATTCAAGACCCCCTTTCCCCCTCTTCATCTCTCTACGAAATTATTGTAAAAATCGTATATGCCCCCCAGTGTGGTGATGGTAGTGGTGTGGGCCCTTTTACAGACAGACAGACAGACATTCACTATATTATAGTATAGGTTTTTAGGCGGGACCTGCTCTTGTCGACGATTGGTCGGCCCTTTTTACCCCCACTTTTTACCCTCCTCGTGGCACACGTAGTCGATAAATAAGCTTGCACATCACATTGAGAACAGCAAACCGGGTTTCACTGTCGTACAGTGAAGAACTAGGATAGTTCTCTGTGTGTGTGTTTTTTTTAAATTAAATTTTGTGTTATATCTATGCAGTCTTTAACGATGTTTAATTCCTGCGATGTTTGTCACTGTACAAGGTACTACAACAAACATTTGTTGATAACAAATTTTTTTTTTATTTTTACCAAAAAAATCGTGCAACGTGCTCTCTTTTGGAATTTTTATGTGTCTTTAAAATGTCTTTAAACAAGACAAGTGAAAGATTTTTGGGGAAATTTTTGTTTCCAAAAAAATCAATTATTATTAAAATAGTGAATCTATGTGAAATTTTTATTTTTGGATTTTGTGATTGGATAAGTGATTCATGGAAAAAAAGAAATTTCATTTTTAATTGCATTATTTTCATAATGTTGATTTAGTGGAAAAAAAATTTGTTCAAATTTGTTACAAAAATTTCAAGCCATTTGGAAAATTGTAAAAATTGTAATTTATTTTTAAAGTGAAATTTAAAAAGTGTAGAAAATAGTAGAAAAATAGAAAATATAATTTCTTTTAATAATGAGTGAAATCATTACTAATTAGTGATTTACTGATAAATTTTTTATTTTATATAAAAAAAAAATCTCTTGGAGAGAATTTTATGTGCAATAATCACTAACAAATTTTCTACTTAAATTTGCCAAAGAAATCTAGAAAAGTAGAATCGAATTTTGTTAAATTTGAACGAATTTAGAGAATATTTTATCAATTTTTGAGAAATCTTTTTTTAATTGAATTTTAGTTACAATTTTTAAAAATAGAATCAATTATTTCCACTGATAAGAAATTTTTGAAAATCAAATTCGAAATCAAAAATTTAGTTTCTTTTTTTAATAATCTTTCTGTTTTTGATAATTTTCCTTCATAAGTGAAAATTTATTTTTATAAACAATATATTAATCAATTATTATATTAAAAATATTTTGTATTACGTCATTATATTTTTATATATTATATTTTTATATATTATATTTTTATATATTATATTTTTATATATTATATTTTTATATATTATATTCTTATATATTATATTTTTATATATTACATTTTTATATCTTATTATTCACATCCACTATCCATTTGTTTACAATATTTAAAATTTAGAAAAAAATTATTTAAAATAAATCAATTCTAATTTTTATTTGTTCTTTAAATGTTAGTTAATTATTCAAAATGAAAATCCAATTAGTTTACATCTATTCATAATAATCGATAATTATTTTAAAAAATATAAAAATCAATATCAATAAAACATAATTCAAATTCATGGCGCCTGTGGTGCCCTCTTTTTTATTTTCATTCGCGCGCATTCTCAGTTGACTGTGACCTCTTAGCGGGGGAGTATTTGATGCTCCAATTGCTCTTAGGTTTTCATAAAAAATATTGTGTTTCTTGACATAAAATTGACAAATCCTTAGTGTTTTTACATTAAAGAAACTCTCGTGTTTTAGGTATAAATAAAAAAAAAACATAAATTTTACTCTAAATTATATTTTTTCTCCAAAAAATTATGTCAACTCAGTGCTTTGTGTTTCACTTATTTTTAAATCGAAATTTTCCATAATAATTATTCAAATCGAAAAAGTGTTTATATTATTGTTAAATTATTCAAAAATTCTATTAACTTTCATTGATAAATTATTAATAATCTTGTGAATTGGCGGGTTTAGTTTTTTGAGGTTATGTTTTTCCTTTGTTTTGTTTTGAGAGTGCGTTGTATTGAATTTTCACATTTTTTTACAATTGAAATTTCTTTAAAAAAAAAAAAAAAATTTCTAGTGATTGTGATTTTAATAAAATTTTCTTTTTCTTTTTTACAGCTTATTCAAAAATGCTTTCAAAATTAAAAATTCTCCACTTGCTGAAAGCCCACTAAAATCTAGTGTGAAATCACGCCGTCTTTTGGGAATGGCGTCACGTCCTCGTCGTTTATCGACTAGTCCGGAAACTGAGTTACCAACATTGGATAAAGAAAATGGTAGCGCCATCTCGAGTCTTTTAAATGACAACTCAAGTCCTCAGAAGGTAAGAATTATTTGAATTTCAAATTTTCGTGATTTTTTCTTCAATTTTGTAATATTGGCAGGTGTATAAAGCGATTTACATTTTGTGATTGAAGATTAGAATTGTTTTTTTGTTAAATTTATGCAACACCTTGCAATTCTCAATTTCCGGATTAAAATTATTTTTCTAAAAGGAGATTTGAAAATACTGTTTCCGTTTTGATTTTAAAATTTGGTTTTAAATTCGATTTTAATCTACTGAAGAGATCTTTTTTTGGAAGAGGAAGGCTAAAAATTGGATTTTATTTTTAGCTAAGCGGAAATAAACTGGCGAAATCACGTTGCCCACTTGAGGATTGCGATCCAAATAGTCAGGACAGTGGTTATGGATGTACCGAACGAGATGAAAAATCAAGCGATGGATTTCAATTTGTCGAACCATTGGGCGTTGCACCACGTCGTATGTCAATTGAATGCCGTAGTCCAATGCAATCACCATTGCGTTCATCACCAAATAGAAAACGTGTCTCAAGGCCATCGCTATTTAGAAGTCTCTCATCAGGCTACGAGAGTACCGACGATGGATTCAACGATCTCATTGATATTGAGGCACTCGACGATGCCACACAATTGCCAAATAATATTTCGAATCTCCTCTCGGGACATATTGTCGTTGCCGAAAGATCCATGGATACAAGTCAATCGACAACACCCGAATTTCCCCGTACTAAATCATCAAAATCATTACGACGATCACTCTCATTTCAAAATGAGAGGCACGAAAAAAATTCAACACCAACATTCTCCAAGGTACGTTCCTGTTTATTTCGTTCACCAAACGCAAGTTCATCAGCATCGAAACTCTCCTTTGAAGAATCACGTCGTGATTGTTTCTCATCGCCTGAATCGCCAAATATTCTTGAACCAAGATCATTTAAGAGACCACAACCACCAATTGATACGAGTCCAGTGTTAATTAAACGTTCTCGTAAATCAACAAGTTATCAAGATTTAGCCGATTCACCAATTTCGAAACCATGTCTACAGAGGAGTTTCTCCGAAACTGAAGCACACATTAAATCGGCAATTCATCGCAGTATCAATGATGCCGATCTCACTGGTGATTTTAGTAAATCATGCATTCTACCACTCGCCACTGGTAATCACGAGGATCTTAAATCAATAACCTGTCAAACTTTAGTCGATCTAATGAATGGCGAATTTAATTCAACAATTAATGATTTTAAAATTGTCGATTGTCGCTATCCTTATGAATATGAAGCCGGTCATATTGAAGGATCATTAAATTTATATACACGTGAACTTATTGAACAATTTCTTCTTGAGCCATTGAAACATAAACCCGAAATTCAACCCGATTCGAATAAACGCAATATTCTTGTGTTTCATTGTGAATTTTCATGGGAACGTGGACCAAATCTTTCTCGTTATTTGAGAAATCTTGATCGTCAACGTAATAAGGAACACTATCCTGCACTACATTATCCTGAACTTTATCTTCTTCATGGTGGTTATGAGAAATTTTATCGTGAACGTCAAAATCTTTGTACACCACAAGGTTATCGTACAATGAGAGATCCAAATCATGAAGCTGATCTTCGTCAATTTCGCAGCAAGAGCAAAAGTTGGCAAGGTGAAAAATCAAGAATCAATGGATCAACAGCCAGGGCTAATTTAAAACGTCTTGGTTTGTGAATCAATCAATCAATTTTTTTTTCTCTACTTGAGATAAATTATAAAATCTTAATTGTGAAACTGGAGAAAATCATGTATTTTGTAGCTTTATAATGAAACTTTAAAATATCCCGGTTTTAACAAACTCGAGTTTCACAATACACACACATATATACATACATATATATATATATTTATATTTGTAAAAAAAAAAAAAATTATCACTGCCACGCGGATCAATGTTTAAAGTTCCAAGCTTCAATAAGAGAGAATTTCGGATTCCTCTCCAAGGGAAGAGTCCTCCGCGTTGTTTTGTTTTTGTAAATAGTCACCGACTTGAGGCGCATGATTTTCAAAAATTTACCAAAAAATTTTTTTTTTCAGTATTCTTTTAGGCGAAATAAAAATGTAAATTGTTTTCTTTTCGAAATTTTCTGCCTAAATGAATTTTTTTCAATAGTGAAATTTTTGAAAAAAAAAAAAAAATTCATGCGTCTCAAATTCAAATTATGATTTAGTTTTAAAACAATGTTCTAGTACAAGGAAATGTAAAAGCGCTTATTATCTTATTAGAGAAAGATATTTGCCGGTGTCGTCGCCTTTAAAATTTAATAGTATTATATATATTTTTTTTTTTTTTTTGAAAATTTAGAGAAAAAAAAAAAACAGGAGAAAGGGGAATGATGAAAATGCAATAATAAATCTGAAAGAAAAAATCGAAAAAAGTAGTCTTCTATTTTGAAAAAAAGTATTTTTCATTTAGAATTTGTTTCCTTTGTGAGGAAAATGTTTTTTTTTATTTATTTCGAAATTGCATTTCGATGCAGTGTTAAAATTTTATTTTTTTTTTATTTAATTATCTACTACTTTTTTTTTTCTATTCGATTTTTTCTTATTCAGAAATAAGACTAGAACTGAATGAATTTTTGTTTTCGCAGATATTATAATGCTTCTTTGATGATTTTGGGCGGGCATCCCATGTGTACAGACGCGATGCAAAAAAAATTTTATTCAGTTCTAAAAATATGAAAAAAAAAAATCCACTCGCGGATTTTATCTTCGCAAGCCGTGAGTGGTTTGGGTTTCGGTGCAAAATTTGATAGCGAAAGAATTTAGTCAGTATTTACTTCCTTACGTTCGAGGTACAATTCAGTTTGGACGTTTTTTTTTCACATGTAATTTAATTTATTAATTCGCCATCAATTTTTCCGCAAAAGAAAAATTTCTGTTTCCTTGAGCATTGTGAACAAAAAAAAAACATTATTGGAAAATTGTTTATTTAAAAGTTTTTTTTAAAAATTGTGTTAGAAAAAAAAACTTTTTCTTTCTTTGTAATGAGAAAGCTCATTTTGCATTTAAACATTTAGATTTGACAATAAGAGAAAAAACATTTTTCATTTAGAAAATGAGGCAAATTATTTATAGAAAAGAAAAAAAGAAAATTATGCAAAAAATGAAATAAACCGAATTGAATTTGTCATGAACGTTTGGCGATGAGCCAAAGTTTTTTTAGAAGTATAGAAATAATGAAAATGAAAAAAAACAAATACTGCGGAAATAAAAATGTAATGGCCGCTAAATGCAATTTTTGTTAAGCAGGATGTCAGATTTGACGCATTTTCTTTTAGTATATGCGTAACCATTTGTTACTATTTTGTCGTTTTGTAATTAATAAAAATACAATATCAAAATATAAATTGTCTTTTTCCATCAATTTTCCACCTCGCCTTAATTTTTGCTTCTTCATAGAGAAAGTAATAGTATTAATTTTTTGTGATTTAATTAAAAAAATGACTGAAAAAGGAGAAAATTAAAAAAAAACTGTTTATTGAGACCAAAGATCGATGGCATTGTCTATTTTCTACAAAATCAAATATATCAACTATAAATTATAATATATATATTAATCGATGAGTCAAAACACTTTCACTTACACAATAAATATAAAAGTAAAATATATTAAGCATTCAGTTTTTCTTAATATGCTATTTCTAATAAATGAAAATTTTTATTTTTCAATTTTCTCTTCAATGATTTCGATTCTTATGAATTTTAAATAATTATCGTAAAATATTATTTATTTCACGATAATAAAGTCAAAAAAAAAATCTTTAAGAAACGAAAACAATTTTTTGATTTTCTTTTTGTGAAAATATAAAATTACTATAATGTTTATTCTCCCAGTGTTTCAGATCAACAAGTCTCATTGAATCCATTTTGAGCGTCGGGAATAACATAATTTGGATCACAAACAGTATTACGCACAGCATCCTTAACGTAAGCGCGAAAAATACGAAAATTAATATCATCACTTTTCAAATGTCCATAGAGATACATTGGCAAACGATCGGATAATATCCATACACTTTGATTTATTTCATGATCCATTCGAACGTCATTGGGAAAAATAAGTGACACATTACTTGTACCAATTACACCAAGATTCTCCGGAATATATTCTTTTCTTGTATCCCAACACCATACAGAATCTCTTGTTACCATATTAAAAAACATAACACCATCACGATCAATAGCCGATCCTGATGATTGGCCATAATCATTTGCTCTTGGCTTACCAACGGGTACAAATTTATCCGAACATTCGTCAGCCGTTTTTTTATCCTTCAATACACGTGTTGAAACTGCAAATTCACGAAAACTTGACATTGGATGAAAGAAAATTGTACGATCTTGATCAATATCAAGGGGACTTAATGCCATTCCAAAAATTCCATCCGTCCACTCAAATTGAATTCCATGAAGATTGTATCTAAACGATAAGTATTGTTTTTTAAAAAAAATTAAATTTATTTTTCAGCAAAAAGATATTCTTTTGAAAGTAGAATAAAGAAAATTTAGATTAAATTTAATATTAATTCGTAACTAATTTACATGAGACCAAGATTAATTTACATATATTTGAATATTCATTTCTATTGTTACATTTTGAATTTATGTTCAAAATAAATTACTGTTTTTATTAAAATTATAATTAAAATATGAATTTAAATTTATTTTTTCTAAAAAAAATATTAAATTAATGAAAAATAATTACTTTTTTTTATTTTGTTATTATAAAATTTGTATTACCTTGCAGACAATGGATCCGGATAGAAGAAATGATGCTCGTATCTGTATGATGAATCGGACAAGAGATCATAAACAACAACTCCAAAACGAAAAACATCGGAAATATAGGCAACCGCAAGCTCACAAAAACCGTGTCTTACATCAACAATTATATTCGAATAAAGACAATCCTCCTTGATGTGATCCTTGGGAAGAATGTATTTATGAAGAAGACGATCTGTTTTCAAATCAAAAATGAATATTGCCGGTGGACAAATTTGTTCGGAACTATTTGTGATTTCAATTTTTCCCGAATCCAAAACCCATAGACGCTGACAATCGTCCACTTGAATTCGAAACACCGAGGTGAGTCCTTCACAATTTCCTATAAAAAAAATACAATTTTTTTAAATTGCTAATTACAAAAAAAAAAGATAAAATATTCTATACTGTAAATAGTAATTTTAAATTCTATTTTTTAAATAGAACAAGATTTTTTAATTGAAAGTAAAACTTGAAAAAGAAAATCCAAAGATCGATGCAAATTTTATTCGACGAATAATGTGTATCGGAAACAAGTCACGTCTTTGAGATTTTTCCTTTTCCTTAATTAAGAAGATATACTGGCTTCTCGCGAGGAGAAAGTTCTTTTATTATTATTATTTCTTTTTTTTTTTTCTTGAAACTATTTTATATATAATAAATAATAGAAGACTTACCAGCATTATTCCATTCCCAATTAGGATAGGGTTTTAGCTTCGGGCTTTTAGTTGTTGAATATCGTGGAACAGTTGTGAGAGTTACGGGTATGCCACTTTTCCATTTTGGCAAAGTGATAAAGACTCTATCTTCCCAAACTTCAAGTCCTAAGGGTAAATTGTTCTCTGGAATGTAGGAACCTTCAAAACGAGCTCGATTTCGTGCTTCGTCACTTTCATATTCGAAATCTACAGTCTTCCAAAAATACTCCTATGGAGAGTAGAAAATTTATTTTAATTAGAAAAATACAATTTTAATTATTTACAAATTCTGATTTTGTTGAAAATTTTCCACGGATAATTTCGAATATTTATCTAAATAATATTTTTATTTATCTCGTTAGTAAAATTATATAATAATAAAATGCTTGGTCTGTCCTTCTGTCCTAACTTGAAGTTGGCATTTTCTGATTTCACGTGTTTTTTTTTTTTAATAGTAATCTTATGACGTGTCAAATTTTGACAATTCTTTTTCTCATTTTTGCCAAAGTTGTATAATTGTGTTTTATATATTATACAAAACTTTTTTATACAATCAATACTAATCTCTATAAATAAATTTTCAACTAAGGAAATTGAAAACAAAACATTTTTGTAGCCAAACAGAAAATTCAGAAATTTTTTTTGAAACTTGTGATTCAGGGATTTTTGAAATAGATTAACAATTTCGAGTTCAGGCCTCGGATTTTACGACTTTTTCCATTTTTTTTTTTTTTCAATAATGAGACTTTTATCGATTTATTTCAATAAAATGCAACTTTATCGACTTTTTTTTACATTTTTCATAAAATTAAAAAAATTTTTTTTTTTAGTATGCAATGCAGTATTTACAAAAATTTAATTACTTAACAAATTTTTAACTAAAATTGTTCGATAAAATTAATTATTTTTTATAATTTAAATAAAATTTTTCAAAAATTCAATTATCTGAAAGTATTTTTCAATTAAATAATATTAAATAATAATTATTTTAAATTTAGAAAAAAAATAATAATTTTAGCAAATAAATTAACGAAAATTTCCAATTCAAAATCACATGAAATTTAATTATTTCCAACAATCTAAACTTAATAATTAATAATAATAAAATGCTTAATCTGTCCTTCTGTCCTAACTTGAAGTTGGCCTTTTCTGATTTCACGTGTTTTTTTTTGAATAGTAATCATATGACGTGTCAAATTTTGACAATTCTTTTTCTCATTTTTGCCAAAGTTGTATAATTGTGTTTCCAAATTTCGGAATAAATTTCTTTAAAATTCCAAATTCGAAAATTCGTTTACCAACGAAATTTTTTTTAAAGTTATATATTGATTCAAAAATTGTATACAAATACAAAAAATTTATGATGAGAAAAAGATAGTAATAGTAATTTGAAAAAAATTAATTTTTAAGGTACCAGGGGCCAACGAATACCTATTAAATATTAATTATAAAAACACAGGCCTCGAATCAACTTAAAGACACAAAAAAAGTCGTTTTAGTCGATTTATATTCCAAAAAAAAAGTGGATTTGCTTTTTATTTTAACAAAAATATTTTACAGATTTTTAAATAAAAAATTTTTTTTTAATAATAATCCTTTTCGAAGGGTTAAAGTTGAAATTTTTAGAAATAAATAAATTTCAAAAGATATTTCCTTAGAGTTATAATTGAAATTATTAAATTTCAAAAAAAAAATTTCGATGGAAAATTTTAGAAATAATTAAATTTTAGATGTTTTTAAATTCAAATTTTTAAACATTCAATTAACGTTGAATTCAAATTTTTGAGAATAATGAAATTTTATTTGATTTTAAATTTGGAAAATAATTGAATTTCAGTTCATTTTGAATTGAAAATTTTGGGAAATTGAATTTGAATTGAAATTTTGGATAATAATTTAATTTAAGTTCATTTTTGATTGAAAATTTAAATAATTAATTTTGAATAGAAATTTTACAAAATAATTGAATTTTATTTCATTTTAAATTGAAAACTTGGTAAATAATTAAATTTAAAATTTAAAATTGTGGATAATTATTGGATTTTAAATTAAAATTTCAGGTAATAATTGAATTTTAATTGAAATTTTGGATAATAATTTAATGTAAGTTCATTTTTGATTGAAAATTTAAATAATTAATTTTGAATAGAAATTTTAGAAAATAATTGAATTTTATTTCATTTTAAATTGAAAACTTGGTAAATAATTAAATTTAAAATTTAAAATTGTGGATAATTATTGGATTTTAAATTAAAATTTCAGGTAATAATTGAATTTTAATTGAAATTTTGGATAATAATTTAATGTAAGTTCATTTTTGATTGAAAATTTAAATAATTAATTTTGAATAGAAATTTTAGAAAATAATTGAATTTTATTTCATTTTAAATTGAAAACTTGGTAAATAATTAAATTTAAAATTGAAAATTGTGAATAATTATTGAATTTTAATTGATTTTGAATTAAAATTTCGAGTAATAATTGAATTTTAATTGAAATTTTGGATAATAATTTAATTTAAGTTCATTTTTGATTGAAAATTTAAATAATTAATTTTGAATAGAAATTTTAGAAAATAATCGACTTTTATTTCATTTTAAATTGAAAACTTGGTAAATAATTAAATTTTAAATTGAAAATTTTGGATAATTATTGGATTTTTAATTGATTTTGAATTAAAATTTCGGGTAATAATTGAATTTTAGTTTATTTTGAATTGAAATTTTTAAAAAATAATTCAATAATTTTATTGTGATATTTTTTTTTAAATTATAAACAATTGTTAAATTTCATAAAAATTTTAATTGAAAAATAATTTTGATATAATTGAATTTGTGATGTATTTCATTAAAATTATTAAAAATAATTAATTTAGTGAAGAATCATTTTAGTTCAAAATTTGTTAAATAATTGAATTGAAGAAGATCTGAAGAAGATCTACATTTTATACTAAAAAAAAATGTATTTTATTTACATTTTTTTTCAAATGTAAAAAAAATGTCGCATTTTATTAAAATAAGTCGATAAAAGTCGTATTTTTGAAAAAAGTCGGAAAAAGTCGTATAATCCGAGGCCTGTATAATTTTCATTATTATCATTTAATATGTAATAATATTCTAATAAATTAAATTATTATTGATAATATTAATTTTTAATTTCTTTATAACAAACAATTAAATACTCAATTTGGCGCGCGTTTAATTTTGCTATAGTTATGAAATAATTTACCAATTCCATTGCTGGACCAACGTATTCATTGTTAGGATGATTTTCCCCTTTATACAAAAGATCAGGTTTATATATTCCTTTTTTGTTATTATTATTATTATTATTATTGTCATCGATAGGTGAATTAAAATTAATACGATTTAAATGAGCATCAATTTCTCGTCCAGTTTTGATTTTAGTTTCGTATCCTGAATTTTGATAATTTTCAATCATCCAATTATTTATTGGATTTGATGGATAGAATTGTTGTTTTTGTTGTTGATTATCCTCGCAAGGTTTCAATAATCGTTGATCCACTATTGAGGTGTCATCGTGATAAGGATAATTGCAGGTCGTGTGAATTGGAAAACCTTTGCCATTTTGCGTGGATGTTACCTGTTATTGAAATTAAATGGCATAACTCAGGTTGAATTTATTTTGTTCCTATATATATATTTATGTATATAAAAGCCCATCTTGCAATTTCTTCTCTAACCGATCTCTCCTTTTTTTTTCTTATTCTTTTCTCCCCCCTGTAAACTTTTGATCACGATTCTCGTGTGTAATGGGCGATAAATTGTTGTATTTCGATTGTGAGAAGAAATGTTTCTTTGTGAAAACATGCGGAAGAAAGGACGAAATTTATTTATTTGTTTGAAAAAGTCACGAAATTAATAATTTTATTGATTTTATTTTATTTGTTTTCTAATTTTTCTAATTATTTATATTTTCTTTAATTAAAAAAAAAAAATATTAAATTTAATTATTTTTCTGTTTTTATTTTTCAAATTCTCCAAATTTGTTTTAATTTTTTTTTTAGGTTCGAATCAGTTGGATTTTTCCTCTCGAGACGAAATTGGAGAAATTAAATTAGAACTCGATTTTCAAGGGGTACATGTTATCGAACATGTTATTTATGGGTTTTTTTTTTAAGCTTCACATTGTATAACGAGAATATTTTGCAATTAGGTGCAGCAATTATATATATATAGTTGGGTACATACAAATTATAGATAATGAATGTTTTATCTTTCTTTCGTTTCAGTGCGCAAGTTTGCTGTTTTACGCAATGAGTTTTTAAAAAATATATTTATCTAAACTTGTTGGGTTACTATTTTACTTTCAAAGACTCGATTCCTATATTAGAATAGGCCACACCATAATGATTTCAATTATAATATCATAACGTGAAAGGTTCATGGAAATTTATTTTTTTTTGTCATATATTTGGAAATCCAACCTTAAGCAAAGGTTAATTTTTTCTATTTTGTTTAATTTCTAAATAATTAAATACATAATTAATCGTTATAATTATTAAATTACAGGGTATTTACAAAAAAAATATTTCATTTCAAAAATACAAAAAATTAAATTAAAAAACATTTTATTAGTCAACTTTTGTCAAGATTTTACAAATTTGATAATTTGTGAATAATATTTAAAAATTGATTAATTAGAAAATTATAAAAAAGTGAATTTTTAATTATTTCTTAATAAATTATTAAATAGTATGAAATTATGATTTAATTTCCACTTAATAAGAAATAATGAGGATATTATTATTGAATTTAATGAGTTGTGTATATTTTGCCATAAATGGAAAAATTGATTATAGTAATAGTATATAAATTAATTTTCATAAATACCGGTGGATAAATTGATGGCGAATAAATTTGTGGCGGTGCTTGAAGATCTTGTGATAATTGATTTGGTGTTGCTGGTGTTACAAAATTTTTTAAACCCACCAATGACATTGTCAATAGCCATGGCACGACACTTGTCACCCCTAAAAAAAAAATAATTTTTTAAAAATTACTTTAAAAATCCAAATATTTAATTTTTATTTTATTTTTCGTTTTTTTTGTGGTTCAATTTTTAGTTCTTATCTTTATTTTCAATATTATCGTTAATTTTTTTTTTTGTTCCATTATCGTTTCGTGTTTGTTCCATTATCGTTTAGTACTTTTTGGTCCATTATCCATTTTTTTTTTTTATTCCATTATCGTTCATTTTAATGGGCATTAATTTTTATTTTATCATTTTATTTTGTAATTATTTTTATTATATGGCTTTAAAAATTTATATTTTGTTATTAATTTTTTTTTTACTTTTAGCAATTTATCATTTTTTAAAAAATTCACTTACCTGGCATTTTTGATAATATGTTTTACAATTTTTTTTTATATTTAGAACATTTTTTTAGTAAAATTCGATTTTAATTTAAAAATTTTTTTTTTTTTGGTTTTTTTTTTAAATTTGTTTTTCACTTCTTTAAAATAATTTTGAACGAGAGTGAAGCTGGATCACGTGTGAAATGAATAACGCACGAGATGTGACTGTGAGATGTGTTGGCTATATTATTATAATCAAGATTCTCTAGTAAACTTATGTGTGTATTTGTGAAGCCAAATACAGAATTAAAGAGAATGTCCTGTCCTTTCTACCATCTCATAGAAGATGTTCATTCTTTCTCTCTTTTTCTCTCTCTCTCACTTTTCTACTCTAATACTTATAGGTCATTGGCGAGAAGCTCCTCGTTAATATAATTCAAGGTGCAACAGATAATCACTATTAACAGTGAAAACTCATTAGATTTCCTTTTTCCTTGTCACTTTTTTTTTTTTTTTCTTCTTCTTCTTTCTCTCAAATCACAATGAAAATTTCATTTCACAATTCAAATCAACTATTGTTTTTTTATCATTAATTACAGATTCACTTCCCTCTTGTTTTTTTATTTCAAAAATTAATTTTCTAATTATTTTTAATTATTTTAAATAATTTAATATTATTTTTAATTTTAAATAATTTAATATTATTTTTAATTATTTTAAATAATTTAATATTATTATAAATTATTTTAAAGTATTTTAAATTATTTAAAAAAAATTTTTAAATTAGTTTTTAATTATTATTTACTTACAATTAATTACCTATTATTTATTTACATTGATTTTTAATATAAATATGATTTTAAATAAAATTCGTCTGGACGAAAAAAAAAACTTTCCGCGATAAATGCAAATATAAAAATGAAACTCGTCAAATTTAGGTAAATGTCGATTTCACTTGAAAATTACCTCTGAATTTGCGAACTTTTTACAACTTTCAGTGAAACGTTAAATTCATGTAAAATAAAATATACTCCACGTTCAATCACTAGAATTGTACTCTTTACCTTTAAAGTTCAACATTTATCAAATATAATTACATAGCACTGTGATCCAGTAGTTGCTGCAAAATCCCGTTTCTTTATAAAAAAAAAAAAAAATCCAAAAATATATATAACACTGATATTAAAGATTAGAATGTCGATAACGTTCCATACGAGTTTTGTAATGTTTCTTAATATATTCACATAATTTATTATTTATTTCATTTATATATTTTCATAGTGATTTTTTCTATCAATTAAAAATTATTTTTTGAAAACTTACGATATTTTTTCAAAAATTGTACTTTCTATATTTAAAAAAAAATTGTTAGTTTATTTTAGTTTTTTTTTGCAATCTTTTCAAGTGGAACTGTATTTGACTTTACGTCACTTGAATACAAGAAATTGTACAAAAGAATAATGAGACAATTCTCGAGGAATTTTTTTTTTTAATTAAAAAAACAATTTAGAAAATTAGTATTGTAATTTACAAAATTGACAAAAATATTTTCAGGGATTTTTATTTTTTTTATATTATTGAAATTAAAAAAGTGAAATAAAATTAATTTTATTTATAGAGAAAAATTATTCAAACTAAGAAAGAAATTCGTTCAAGGAAAGAATTTTTATTTATTGGTTTTTTTTTTCACAGTTAATGACAGTGGTATTAGCTTCAATATTTTCAGATATGTAATTGTAGAAAGTGAATATTATTCTTGTTTTTGTTTGTGAAAAATAGAATTTACAACATATAAAAATTTATAATTAACCAATATTCACTTACGATTTTTGTTCCATGTTTTGTATAAATGAAAGTCTTTATTAACAAATTTGTGATCAGGATGAAGAATTAAATCATTTTCATCCCAAATTTCAGAATCGGGAAAATAATGTCCATCAATTTTTGGCTTCTTCGTAGGATTCCAATTATAAACCCAATTTATTTCTTCTGATTCTTTCTTTTTGTCTTCCTTCTTCCTCGCCATCACATTTCTTCAAATTAATAAAAAAAATAATAATAACATTTAAAGTGATTTTTAATTATATAAAATTCTTTTCACTTTTATCTGATTTAAGAAAAAAAAAGAAAAAAAAATTACGAAAGTAAAATTTTATATGAAAAAAAATGTATAAAATCAATAATTAATATTTTCGTTTTTAAATATACAATCTTAATTAATTTAGTAATAAATTTATATTATTAATAGCAAAAAAAATATATATACCGTTAAAAATTGTGTGTAAAAAATTCTAATTCATAATTCATTTAAAAAAATTAAAAAATGAAAATTTTAAATTAATTTGGAGTTTCTTTAAGAAAAAAAAAAAAATAAATCTAATTACGGGATCAGGAAATTTGAGGAAAATTGAAAGCGAAGTACATAGATTCACGTCCAGAATTGAACTGTTTTGTTTACCTGTCTCTACTCAAGCATACCCCTTTTAACAATTTATTAGGGAAAAAAATTCATTTTTATTATTGTCTCTCATTTTTTTTAACCAATTTTTATTTCCTTGTATATATTCCATAATATGCGACGTGTGAAGTTATGAAAGTCTCGTTGTTTTGTACTAGGTACATAATTCACTAAAACATTGTTTTTTTTTTTTCTCTTTACCAATAATAACAGACAAGGAGAATAATATTTCGCCAATATAATAGCAGTTGAAGTAAAAAAAAAGCAGGAGAATATGTATCTCGTAAAAATAAATTCCCCGCAAAGTATATTAGAGAAACATCTGTTTTAATTTAAAAAAAAAAATATTACTTTATTTTCTAAATTAATTTAGATATGTTTCTATACGATACGATCGTTTCCGCTTTCTATATATATACTTTCTTGAGAGAAGTTGCAAGAATAAATAAATAAATAAATCCATTTTTGTAAATTTTCAAAAAATTATTTTTTGATCAATTATTGAAACTTTTAATAACAATTTCGATAATAAAGTAAAAAAAAAATTTTATTTTTATTTCAAAAAAAAATAAAAATAAAAATTTAATTTTTATTTCAAAAAAAATAAAAATAAAATTGTTTATTATTTATTCCTCGATTTATTCTCTAATTGAAAATAATAACTAAAGTTAGGGACAGACTTTGACCTACCTGCCTACCTGTTAATAAAATAAAAAAAAATTATTATTATTATTCTCTGTAAATTTTCAAAAGAAACTTTTAATATTAATTTCGATAATAAAATAAATGAAAAATTTGTTTATTCTGTAAAGGAAAATAATAAATAAAGGTAGGGTCAGACCTTGACCTATCTGGCTACCTGTAATTTGTTATTGTAACGTACAAGAGTAAGAGATTAAATTGAAATCTAAATTAATGATTTATTTTTAATTTTTCAGATGCAGTTGAAGAAATAGTCGCCAGAGTGTTCGAGTGGTTTAAAATCCAAATCGTTCAAAATATATATTTATCAATTTTTTTTTTTTTTTTTTTTTAAATAAAAAATAGTTACGGGAATGTTTTGAATATTTTGAAAACCGCGATCGTTTAAATATTAATTTCAAAAAACTTTCTTTTCTTTCATTTAAAAAATTTTATTTTCTTTTTCGATTTCCATGTTTGAAATTTAAATCGCGTGCGTGTGTTTTTTTTTTTAAAGAAAAGATGAAAAATTTCCTCACAATTTTAAGGTAATAATTTACAATATTATTAATAATTAAATTAAATTTAAATAATAATATTCTTAGTATTTTTTTTTTATTTGAAAAAAAGCAATAGAATATTGCCTGTTAAATAAAATAATTTATGCAAATTAGTTGAGAAAACATTTAGTGAAAATATATAAGATTAATACATAACTCGACGAAATTAGTTGTAACCATTTTATTTTTTTTTTTTGAATACATATTTATTTTAAAGAGGTCTTAGGAAGTTTTTACATCAATGAAATTGTAATGCAAATAAAATTAAAATAAAATAATAACAAAAAGCAATTACTAGGGTTCGCTAATTGAGTAACTGAAGTTTAAAAAGTGAACATTACCATTAAGAAAGACCATACAGTGTATAATTTTTTCCCAGCCACCATGTAATTATATTTTATAATTCACTCCTAAAATTATTTTCTTCATCAAAAACCTTGAAATTTTTTTTTTTTTTTTCAATAGGAGGTAAAAATTTGATTGCTTTTCCAAATTGCTTGTCAATTATATTTCAAAACGTTTAATTATTTCGCGATAAATTTTAATACCTAAAAAAAAAATTATCTTTGTCAGGCAATTTTATTGTCTAATGATTTACGATTGTCGTGAGTCGACTGTGAAGGAAATTTTGTATTTTAATAATTTTTTATTAAACATTTCGGCAATTGCCTGATAAATAACAAAAAATTAAAAATTTTATTAATGTCTAGTATTTATTATATATATTGCAATTTTTTTTTGTTGCCAAAAGATATATTTGATTTGTGCTAAACTAATTTTGAGAAATTATCTTTCACCTCTTTTTATATATGAGAAGTATTTAATTTAAGTATAGCCTATTCACACAGTGTAATAATTATAATTTTCAATCATAAACTACTGTAAACGAAGATTATTATGATTATATGAAAATTGGTAAAAATTGAATTATTCCATGAAATATTTCGTTTAAAATTTTAATATTTGTCAAATAATTGTCTCATAAGTTGTATTTAGGATAATATAAGTTATTTAAATTCATTGCACTTACAATAAACAAAATATTTAACAATAAAATTTATTTCAAAAAATTATAATAATTTTATCATTAACAAAATAATACTCACTCTGTGGTTGATTAACTTTATTTTCCGCTCTCTTAAAAGTAATGACAAAAATTTTTTTTTTACTTCCCCACACACTCACGGGGTAATTTTAAACAAAAATTTATTTCAATTTTATTTTATTTTCACAATATGAATTTAAAAATTGACGCATTTTCACAACCATATTATAATTACGAAATATTTTTGTTGCATTTATTGACATGATTTATGTAATTTTGAATTCACATTTAAAAAATAAAAATTGTTTTTCCTTTTCTTTGTATTTTTTTATTTAAAATTTTTCGTATTTTCAAATTACAAATATTTTTTTTCTATTCAAATTTAGTAATTTTTTAAAAAAGTAAAATTTTTTAAAAATTGGAATTAAAAATTTGTTTTTAGAAATTAAATATTAATTTTGAATTTTTTTTTACAGATCCTTTTCCATATAAGGAATTTAAAGAGGTATAAGAAGCGTGAAACTTATCGAAGACTGATCGACAAACTAAAATAGTGGAATTGGTAGGCAGGAGAAAGCGCGCGGGGATCGATCACTTTGGTAAGTAACTCGAACTTAAGTTTCAGATAATTTACCTTTTAGAATATAGACTTAGTTTTTTATTTTTTTTTACCTAGATTAATTAGAGGCGAACGCTGTGCTGTTTTACGTAAAAATGAGAAAAACTTTCATGCACCGATAAAAAAGTGTATCAGATGTTTATCCCAGTTAATAGTCTTTAGCAAAAAAAAAAATGACTCGCGAATATAATTCATCGCAAGTAATTCAAGTCCACAATATTTTTTTTCCCTGAATCTAATCGCAAAAGTTTCCGTAATTTTGCCTCCATATTTTTTCGAGTATTTTCACAATTAAAAAAAAAATTGAATTCAGTTAATTTTATAATTTTTTTGTTATAATTTTTTTTTTCTATGATTTTTAAATGAAATGAATATTTTTTTTTTTTTGTAAATATTGCAAGTTTAAAAAAATTTGAGGAAGTTGAAAGAAAGAGAAAATTTATAGTTGCATCTTTAGTCATGCTCTGACGCTGATGGGATTCTTAATAATTTTCCATGGAGAAATTGAGAATTCGTATAGATATACTCCTGGGCATATCCATGAAAAAAAAAAAAAACCATGAAAGTAGCTCAATGTTTATAAAATTGATTTTTAATAACAAATACTGAGTTATTTTTAATTATATGCGAAGAACTATTAGATTGTGAAGAAATTATAAACAGAATTAGAGTGAAGAGAGTTTTCACAATATTTAAAATTTTATTCACATTTATTTATTTATATAAATTATAATAATTATTACAATTAATTTAATAATAATTTAATAATTATAATAATTATAATTACTATAATTATTTATAAATATTTATAATTATTTATAATTATTAAACTAATTGTAATAATTATTATAATTAAATAAGGCAAATAAAACGAAAACATTCGGACAAAGAATAAAAAATAAAAAATAAAAGTTTTTATTCTTTGTCCGAATGTTTTCGTTTTATTTGCCTTATTTAATAAAAGATCTCGGACGTTAAAGATTAATTTCTCTATTGTAATTAATTTTTTTTTAAATTTGTATTTGTACGTATAATTTTAATTATTTTATTAAAAAAAATTTTTAAATTGAAATTAGATGAAACGAAAGTTACATAACAAGTTAATTTAATAAAAATTATTATCATAAACGTAATGCAGAATATTAAAAGGAAAATAATAAATTAGTTTAGAGAAGATAAAAAATGCATAAACTTCATTTAGTATTTTGAAATGCGGTTACCTTCTTCAATAATTTTATGACGATTTTTATTATACCCTTATTTCTTTGTGAATTTCAAGAGCATTGTTTTGTAACTATTTTTTTAAAATAGCTAAATTTACCATAAAATTATTAAATTATGTAATGCACCAAAAATAAAATTTATTAAATTTTTATTATAAAACTATATTAATTAAATTATTTATTAAATATTAATAAATAAAATATTAATTAAACTATTAATTAATAATAAATAAAATATTAATTAAACTATTAATTAAATATTAAAAAATAAAATATTAATTAAATTATTAATGGGAATACGAAATATGAAATTTTAATTATTTAAAGTCATTTATTGAAAAAACTTCTTTATTCAAAAACAATTTTTTTTTCTACAAATCGTTAGCATTTTTTTCAAATAAAATAAAAATTAAACGTTTTTTTTTAAACAAATATTTGATATTTATAACTTAACGGATAACTATAACATATTTATACTTAACTAATAATGTAATTAATTAACTTAATATACTTTGTTTATAAAATACTGTACAAACTTAACGCTCGCAAATAATATTTACAAAAACGTAGTTTCTTAGGGGAAAAAAATTGTTAATGATCAATTCAATAGAATAAAGTTTTAACAATTATTGCAAATTCATCTGATGAATATGATAATTAAACATAAAAATTATTATACTTGTAACGTAAAAAGTAAAAATATGGTTTTATTTAATATTAATTTAATTAATTAATAATTCATTAAACATTTAATTTCATTAAATGTTTAATATTTTATTTTTAAATTATTCTTTTTTTCGATATTTTTTTTTTTTAGAAAATTACTTGACTTTAAAAATGTTCACAAATTTTTTTTAAGAGGTTACATATTAGTTATCGTTTTTCAATTTTGATTAATCGAATTTTTATTCAAAACGAAAATTAATGAATTAATAATTAAGCACGATTGTCAAACAATTCTTGAAGTTTACAAAAACAGATATTTTGAGGACAAAAGCGGATCTTTTTTATAAAATTATATATTATAATTTATAATTATTTTATATAATTCTATAATAATATATAAAATATATATTATTATATATATATATAATTTTGTATAAATTTTTCCAACTATAACAAATAACTAATTAATTAATATTTTTCTGTATATTTTTTTCTTTTTAATTTTTTGAGCGATTAATGAGCAATTCGATCAATATCCGCTTTCGTCTTCTTTTTTAATTAATAATAAAAAAAAAAAAAAAAAAAAAAATCTACTTTCCTCTATTGCGTTTACATGAACGATTATATGTAATCGTAAATATCATCATGTATTATATATAGTTACGCAATACGAGGAGTAACTCTAAATATTATACCGTGTACGATCCTAACAATCATCGCGCTTTCTGTGTGATAGAAAGTCGACGATGTATGCACTACTGAATATTGCTTGCATGTCACACGAAAAATAATAATGTAAAATTTAAAACGTTTTTTTTTTAAACGTTTATTAAATTCTTATTATTTGCTATATTATATACATCACAAATCTCATATCAATTATCTCAGTGGTTTTAGATAATTTGCATTTATTTTTTTTTTATTTTCAGTAGATGATATACCTTTTAATTTAGAAAATATAAAATTTATTTTGGAATTTTTCATTCTTTGAATATTTTTACACTGGATAGAAAAAAATAATTTTCTTCTCTCGTGTTTTTTCAATATGGAAAAATTAATTTTTCGATTATTAATTCTGGAATCAAGAAAACAATTTCTTGAATAATTTTAGTTTTTTTTTGTTACTTAGAGTAAATTTTCACTCCTTTGCCGTGTATTTCTGACTCTTTCTGTAATTTTTTGGAATATTTTCCGCTGTTTGAACACTTTTATTATTTTTTTAATGTGCATTCTTCTAATTTTAATAATTACAATAGCGCAGTGATTTGTAGGCTTAACAATGAATTTTCTAATTACCTTGATTCAATTATATATAGACTGAAAAAAATTTATTTGATTCAAATAATCGACTATTATCAAATATTTATTTGTATCAAATAATTATTAGTCAATAAAAAGGTATTTGTTTCAAATAAAGAAATTATTGGTTCAAATACAATTTATTGAATTCAAATAAAAATTATTTATTTCAAGGAAATATTTATTTGATAATAGTCGATTATTTGAATCAAATAAATTTTTTTTTCAATGCAGTTTAAAAAACAAATGAGTTTGAAAATTCCATTACAATTGTCGAAGATTATTTTCTTAGAGAATACATTTCGTTGCAAAATTTCTTTTCTTATTTTTACAAAATTGATATTATTTTTTCTATTAAAAAAAAATTCTATTTTCAAATAAATTAAACCTTTTTTTTAATTTCTTAAAAATTGTTTATAAAATTGTTTTTTTATTCGATTATTTAAAAATGATGAAAAAAATATTTTAAAAACATTTTTTATTCGATTATTTAAAAATAATAAAAAAAATATTTAAAAAAAATTTTTCAATTTAGAAATGAAAATAAAAAAAGAAGCATTTTTCTAAGGCCACTTGTCTATAGTATAAAATAATTATTTACACACTGGTATTATAAAATAATATCCTAGTTACTAGAAAAAGCAACATGGGGCAAAAAATAGTAATAATAATAATAATATCCTCAATTCTGGAAGACCTTGGTCCCTTTAAGAACCAATCGCTGTTAAAAATGATAAAATAATAATAACTATAAATATATAGAGTTCGAATGTACATTTAAAAACTTAAAAATAAAATCTTAAATGTGCGGATTAAGTACGATGATTATTTAATTTTTTTTTTTTTTTTTTTACAATAAATACTGATGAATGATGTAAATGCATTAATTCTAAAAGAAAACTAAGGCCAGTTGACGTTACATCTAAAAGTTGCGGGGGCACTTTTGAAAAGGCACTTTGAAATTTTTGACTTTGCCCCTTTTTTATTCTTTTATTTTGAATTGTTAAAAAAATTTTTTTTTTTAAATTGTAAAAATTAAAATGATTATTAATTATTATTTATTTAATACGCCAAACATTTAAAAAAAAATACAAAATAAATAATTATTATTATTTAATTAATATGAATTATTTATTTGAAAAATTGAAATTGAGAAAAAAATTTAAAAACTAAAAGAGTAGAATTTTGAGCAAATACTTCGTATGAACTATTTTGAGCGTGAAAATTTGCGTATTTTTTTATTTTACTAGAAAAAATATGAATAATTTTTATAAAAATGCAAATTTTCCATTGCGTGAAATACTGTTGAATACGAGTTGAGCTTTTTTTTTTGATTAAGAGGCATTTTAATTGTGCGCTATAAATTTTTTTTTCTCTTTTTTTTAACAATTCAAGCAAAGTTGCACTGAGTCATTGAATGTTTTTATTATCTCATCTAATTTTTCATTTTTTTTTTTTTTTGGTTTACTACTACTTAAAAAGAAAAAAAAAAAACTTTTATGTGTAACGTAACTGACCTATGCAAATCGAACTACTTGCGTTCGATTTTGCTCCGAAGGCCTTTCATGGACGGAATGGCTGATAGGGAATAATAGATAAATTCTACTTTATCACCTTTAAATTCTAGTCTTATCATAATTATAATATATATGTACAGGTTGGAACAATAAACGAAAGAACATTTTTTTTTCTCGATTAATTAAAAATAATTCCTATTAAAGAAACAATAATTTATTCGCCTTTATATTAAAATAAATAATTAACATTAAATTATTTAAATTTTAATAATTTAAAAAAAATTTTTTTTGTTTTAGAAAAATATTTCAATATTTTACCTGAGAAATTCCTTTTCTTTTTTGTAAATCTATTTTTATTTTTTTTTTGTTTGAAAAATTCAATTTTAAAAATTTCGATAAATATAATTATATTCCTCTTTTTTGTAAATCTCTTTTTATTATTTTTTTTTTGTTTGAAAAATTCAATTTTAAAAATTTCGATAAATAAATATTCCTCTCTTTTTTGTAAATTTATTTTTATTTTTTTTGTTATAAAAATTAAATTTAAAAAATTTTGATAAATATTTTACTTGATAAATTTTTTTGTTTTATTTTTATTCTTTTTGTTATAAAAATTCAATTTAAAAAATTTTGATAAATATTTTACTTAATAAATTTTTGTGTTTTATTTTTATTCTGTTTGTTATAAAAATTAAATTTTTAAATATTTTGATGCAAATATATTTATATTGATTTTTTTTTAATAGGAATTATCATTATTATAGTGAATTAAAATAAATAATATTAAGTCACACAGCCGCACGGTTCCCTTGAAAATACGCTCTCATTTTAGTAAACCGTTAATATTTTTTATTGTATACGTAAATATGAGCTTTTTAAAATTCGGAATACGTTTACTATCTCTATTTTTTTTTTTTTTTTGATATATATTCTGTCTTTTAATACTAATTTATATTAATAATTAATGAAATATTTTACAATGCACATAAATTGATTATTCAATATTCCTGCGATGAATAGTAACGACTAATTTTTTTTTTAAAAATCGCGTATTAAAATACCTTTATATATCAAATCGTAAAAATTGTTTTTATGAAAATCTTTTTTCTGTATATAGAAAATTTAATAAAAATTTTATATCAAAAAATTGTAGAAAAAAAAGAATAATTTTATAAAAAAAGTTGTTTAGAATTTTAAATTTCAATTTTGGAATTTTTTTTTCTTGGCAAATTTTTTTCTAATTTTCTAAATTGTATCTGAATTTAAAAAAAAATTAATTCTTCGATTCTTCAATTTTATTAGAAGTTGAGGGATTTTGATGATTAATTATCAAATCAGTCGTACTTTTATTTAAAATTGGAATGATTTTTCGATTTTTGCGAATAATAAAAGGCTCGTGAAAACGAACCTTTTTAAGTAAATTTCATAAAGAACTTTCCCTTTTATTTCTTGATTGTGATGTATCGGGACTTGGTGTCATTGCTAAATTATCATAAGCATAATCCAATGCATTATCTTCACATGCATTATTTTTTGATAAATCAGTACTTGCTGTACTTGGTGTGCCATCGTCATTATTAATAATTTCCGATGCTGCAACACTACCACTTATCGTTGGCATTGTTAATTTTAATCCATTTTGTTTAATCGTTCCATTTTCCACGTCATCGCGAACCTTGTTCCTATGCTTTTTCACTTTCTGCTTTGAAAAAAGAAAAATTAATTATTATTATTTTTTTTTTAATAGAAATTTTTTTTATAAATCAATTTTTTAAAAATAAAATTATTATCCAATTGGTGGGAAATTAATTATTATTATTAGTTGCGCAAGGGAATATTTTGAAAATTATTTCGATAAAAAAAATTTTTTTTTTTTTTTTTCAATATATAATAATTTTGTGTCAAGTTGAAAAAACTTGATATTATATATTATATGACATTACTTACATACCGGCCACTTTTTCCTGAAAGTCTTTTGAAGGAAGGTTTTAACTTTTTGCCACTTAATTAACGTTCTCGCTAATAAGTAAATAATTGCCAGTAAGGAAAGGCAAGTGAGTGACAATGATATCTTGAGTAGTGTCCTTTGCCTCTGAATTTCCTCTGCGAACAAGAATTCCTCATTAATAGTCATTATAGAAAATTTCATTCGTTAATTATATATATATATATTATACTTGATTTTTAATTATAGAGCCAAAATTATATTTACAATTTATACTAAAAACAAATTCAATTAAAATTTTTTGAAAAGAAAATTAATTAAAAAGAGTCATTTTATATGAAACCGTATCAGTAGAAAATTTATTTACTTGTAACTATTTTTATTATTTTATTATTATTATTATTATTATTAATATTATTATTATTATTACTGTACTATTTTTTCGTGTATAAAAATTTATTTATTTTTATTAATTTAATTTTTATTTATATATATTTATTTTTTATAATTTATTTTTTTTAATTTATTTTTTTTAATTGACAAAATTGTCATTTTTATATTTCAAGAAAATTATATAATTAAATCAGTGAATGAAAAAAAAAACAATTATAAAAATTCATCATAATAATTTAGAAAATATAATTTTTTGAGTTTTACATTTTTTTATGTGAACGATGTATTCGAGATACTGTAATTATTCTTTTATCATTATAAAGTATGAACAAGTGTCATCAGCTCTACAAAAATGATCTCACAAGTGTTGGCACTGAATTCACATGATGTAACACACACAAAAAAATTATTATTCAATATTTAAGTGTTTGCAAAGTCTGTTTTTTAATAATCTATTAAGAACAATCTCACTTTTGAATATAATCTAAAAAAAAAAATTTTTTAAGAAAAAATTTATAAATTAATAAAAAATTATTAGTGAATTTAAATTAAATTTACATTAAATTTACATTAAATTTTTATTAAATTTATATTGAAACTTCAAATTTTGTAGAAAAAAAAAATTTATTTAACGTATGTTGAAATATAAATTTAAATTGGATTTTTCCGAAAATAAATTAACAACAAGGTGTTTATTGATTACACATACGTATATATATATATAGATATAGTATTTTCATATATATATGTACTTTCACATCTAGAAACAAGTGTTACAACATGGAACCATCGCGGTTTTTTTTTTCTCTTATTTTTTCATGAGTGATTCATCGATAAATTAATATTCCGGACTTACCTCGCAGTTCACCTTCCAATTTCAAATCTGTCCTAAGAACGTATCTTTGGTCGTGTAGATACTCTGTAACGTAGAAAGAAATTATTTTTATTTCAAGAAAAATTATGTCGATAATGAAATAATTTTTAATTTTCAATATTAAAATTTTGCTTTAGGTTTTTATTAATTAATTAATTAATTATTGATTAATTTTCACTTAATTAATTATTACTTAAATTTACTTAATTAATAACTACTTAATTTTTATCTAATTAATTAATAATTAATTTTTAACCCAATTAATTATTAATTAAATTTACTTAATAATTATTAATTAATTTTTACTTAATAATTATTAACTAATTTTTACTTAATTAATTATTGATTAATATTTGAACTGCTAATTATTGATTTCCTTTGTAATTAGTAATTATAATTAATTAATAATTAATAATTAGTATTCATTAGTAATCATCATGTTAATTAGTTATTATAATAATTAGTAATCATGATAATTAGTAATTATAATTAATATTTATCAAGCTAATTAATAATCACAATAATTGATTATTGCTTTGCTAATTAATAAATATTTTCATTTATACTAATTTACATGTTCTAATTATTAAATTACAAATTATTAATCAGTTTACTAATTACTAATTATCAATTACTAATTACCAATTACTAATTACTAATTACCAACTACTAATTACCAACTACTAATTACCAATTACTAATTGCCAATTACTAATTGCCAATTACTAATTACCAATTACTAATTACCAATTAGTAATTACTAATTACCAATTACTAATTACCAATTACTAATTACCTAATTTGTTAATTAATTCACAAATTAAAAATGAAACATTTTAAAATTTTTTTAAAATAAAAAATATTAATTTAGTAATAGAATTTTTTTAATTAAATTTTTTTTTAATTATTATAAAATTAGAGAATTAAATTAAAAGTTAGAACTTGATTTTTCTTAGCACTATTATGGTAGCAGTTGATGGGGAACTAAATGAACATAGAGCAACATAAGTCAGTCTCTGACTTTGTAAACTGTTGTATGACTTGTATGTGTATGTGTGTCATTGCATAAATATATGTACATGAATGCATGCTACAAAAAAAAAATGAGAACCTCATCATCGGTATTCACGATAGAGTTAACGATCCGCAAAGACAAGGCTGGGAGTGGTTTGCATTTTAAAAGTTCATAGACGAAGAAATTACTTTTTTTTTTTTCAAAATTTAATCGCAACGTTATTTTTTTTTAAGCTCTATTTGAATATTAAATTTTCGATTTTTGAAACTCCCTTAAAACTTGGTTTTTTAATTTAAAATTTTTTTTCAATATAATTTTTCTCGAATTTTTTATTTTAAATTTTATTGAGGGTTAAATTCTGATATCAATAAAAAAAAATTGAGTAAAACACATTTTGTACACGTATAATGAAATTCAATACTAAATAACAACAAGGCTCGTCGCGTACAAAGGCACTATCGCTAAACGACACGTTTTATGCACTTGATAAAATTGCGTCCGATATAATCGCTCGAGGAATAATTACTTGTGTTCTCTAATGAAAAGCTCTCGCAGGTTCATTGAAATTTGAAATTTTTTTATTTTTTTTCATTAAATTGAAAGTAAAAAAAATAAAAGAAAAACAAAAATTGTCCCTTTGAAATTTTTTTTTTCGCCTTTTTTCAATCGATAATTAATTAGTAACAATTCTTTTTTAACAAGTATACAATTGAGAAAATAAGATCTAAAAAAAAAAAAAAAATTGGTACCAATTTATTACAATAAATATTTTATATTTATAAATAATTAATATTCATTGCAAATAAAATAATAAAAAATAAAAATAATTATATAAAAAACCAGGAAACTAAAAATAAAATAATAAAAAAATTATAACAATTATATTTTTCATAAGTGATGTATTTTTATTTTATTTATTTATTATTTTAATATTTTATTTACAATGAACAATTTCATAAAAGGTATTTCCATATAAAATCAAAAACCAATTTTTAATGAAAAAAAAAAAATTTTTGGTATTGGAATTTTAGAGAACATTTTATTGTGGCAATATCGTATCTACATGTGTGTTAACGTGAAAGAAGACGCGCAGGCGTTCCTTATTATTATTACCAGTAGCGATGGTAACCAATACTGCAAACATTACAGTGATTTTTATTTTTTAAAAATAATAAATTTTATTTTTTCACATTTTATATATAATTTATTTAATATTGTAGAGTAGAATTTTTCAAATACAATTAACAATAAATATATAAAAATTTTTGTCTAAATTTTTGAAAATACTAGAAAAAAAAAAAATTATAAGGGGGTCGCGTTTGAATATATAGGAATGAAGTCATAGCAATCGATTGCTATGGAATTTCAAGCATTATCGCTTATCAGTATTCATATTTATTATGCATAAACTAGAGACAAAATGACTCACACTTGAAAAATAAAATTATGTTGTTTATTTATTTAGGCCACTATTTTTTTTTATAAAAACAACTAACTGTTTAATATTTTAATTTAAATTGAAATTTATTATTTTAATCTATTAACATTTATTATTATTATCATTATTAGTAGTATTAATAGTGTAATTATTATTATTATCATATTAATGTAATTATTATTGTGATTATTATTATCATTACTATTATAATGACTATGGTTCATAGAAAGAAAGATGTTAAAATACTTTTTTTTTGCCAATTAAAGCATTTCGAAGATAATTTTCCATTATGCATTTGTGGCTAAGCGGTTAGGTTATCGACTTTGCGAGCGAGTTGCTTGGGGTTCGATTCCCGGCACAGGAGAATTTTTTCTGCATTAAATAGTTACGTTATTGCGTCTTCAATGGTTATTTAAGCTATATTATATAATCAGTATTGGTTTTATTATAAAAATCAATGACATAAAAAATTACGGGAAAAATAGAAATTAATAATTAATTAATTAAAAAATTAAAAATAGAAATTAATAATTAATTAATTTAAAAATAGAAAATAATAGAAATTAACAATTAATTAATTGGAAAATAAAAATTAAGAAATAATTAATGGAAAAATTAAAAGTAGAAAATAATACTTAGAAATTAACAATTAATTAATTGAAAAATAGAAATTAAGAAATAATTAACTGAAAAATTAAAAATAATAGAAATTAACAATTAATTAATTATTTGAAAATAATAGAAATTAATAAATAATTAATAGAAAAATTAAAAGTAGAAAATAATAGAAATTAGTTAAAAAAATTCAAAATAGAAAATAATAGAAATTAATAAATAATTAATGGAAAAATTAAAAATAGAAAATAATAGAAATTAACAATTAATTAGTTAAAAAATTAAAAATAGAAAATAATAAAAATTAATAATTAATTAAAAAATTAAAAATAGAAGAAAAATTATTAAAAAAATGAAATATTATAGAAGAAATAAAAAATTACATCTAATAAAAAAAATACTTCCTTCATGAGGAAGAAGCAAAATGGAAAAAAAAGAATTGAAATATAAAAAATAAAAGTACAAAAAAAAATGCCAATGAGGGGGAAGAGCAATGAAATGCTAAAGGAATATTATAGAAAAAGAAAAGAAAAAAAAAATACCTAGAGACAAAAGTGAGTCATCGGTCACGTTTATATATGGGGAGAGCTACATAGTGGTACAATCAGGTGCAAAGTCAACGGACCTGAGCAAACTACAGGGAGAGTATAATAATATATATGTTCAGGTGCATCTATTGTATTATGGGACTCTATATTGATTATAATTAAGGATCAAATTTTTTAAACCAAAAAATTTTTTAATTAAATTAATTATAAACAATGTTTATAGTATAAATATTCTCTAAACTGTATGTATATAGATTGTTTCTGTTACCAAGGAAAGGGAGCAGATCGAAAGGACATTACCCTTTGACCCTTTTTCACCTGATGATTCAGACTCGCGCGATCAGATCAAAAAGCTCCATTTTCGCAATTTATTGTTCACGCTTCACGTAAACAATGCAATTAGAATAAATTTATTTATTCATATTCATATTATTAATTAATAATTTTTTTTGTAACGATTTAATAATTCCTTATTAATAACAATATTTTTATAATAATAATAATAATAATAAAAATAATAATAATAATAATAATAATAATAATAATAATAAGTACAATTAACAATTTTAATTTATTTCAATTTTATTGTTATTATTGATTGTTAATAAATAATTTATATATTATTAGGTGATTAATAATCAATAGTAATAAAATTAAAATCAATTATAATTCTTAATTGTATTTATTACACGGAAAAAATCTTTGTCTGGAATAGCGATACGTTTCTCTAGAATAAAGAAAACTTTCGCTGTTTTAGTGAAATATTTAGCTGTTTCACTGAAACTTATTGCTGTTCCAAGTGAAAAATTTTTTGCGTGTATTATAATAGCAATATTGTTGGTAATGAATTATTTAATTAATAATAATAAATTTAATAAATATTAATATTTATTATATAATTAAATTAATAATTATTTAATTATCATTAATTAATAATCAATAATAATAAAAAATAATATAATAATAATAAAAAATTTAAATCAATTATAAAAAAATTATAATTATATAATTATAATTGCATTTATTATTGCAATAACAATATTGTTGGAAAAATTATTTAATTTTTTAAAAAATTTCCAAAGAATAAAAAATAAAAATTGTTTCTTGTTGAAAATTATACAATGCAAATTAGACTGGAAAAATTTCTTTAAAAAAAAAATGTCAATTGAAATAAAATTGAGGGATAAATATATTAAGATTTATTTCTTCCTGTATTTGATTTTTTTTCTTCTTTGAAAGGAACATATAATCTTTCGTAATATTTGAGTTGATCTTTTGGGATAAACCCGACAGGTAGCTTGTTGACGAAAAAGCGCAAGGTGAATAGTCGGGGTATTCTTTAAAAAAAAAAAAAAAAAGGTTTTTAGAAAAGAAACTTAATCGTAGGGGGATTCGAAACAGGTTCTCTAGTGACGAAATCTTCATCTCAGTCCAGTCTTTTTATTTTCTATTTAGGCAACTTTTTTCTCCACCGTTAAACTTATTTACTTAAATTTCGTTTACACACCAAAAAGTCAGAGTTTACGCAAACAAAATTTGAACGTTAAGTAGAAAATGATTTATTATTCTTTTTTTTTTTTTTTTTAATTTTTTTCTGTATAATTTTTTGCATTTTTTAAAAATTAATATTTTTCATTACACTCAGAGAAATGGTATATTTGTCTCCGAGCCTACTAACTCATTTATTTGTTGCAAATATATTTTATTTCATTGAAATAAAAAATTTATTTGAGCCAAAGAAAAATTTATTTGAGCCAAAGAAAAATTTATTTGAGCCAAAGAAAAATTTATTTCTGACAAATAAAATTTTTATTTACGCCAAATAAATAAGTTAGTAGGCTCTGAGACAAATATACATTTACTTAACTCAAATATATTTTATTTGGTTCAAATAAATCATTTTTCTGGGTGTAGAAAAAAAAAATTAAAATTCAATTAAATAATTATTATTAGTTAATAATTATTATTATTATTAGTTTTCAGTTAGAAAAATAATAATTTTTCATTTTTGTAAATTAAATGTTTCACAATAATTAATTTGGAAAAATTTATTATATTTGAGAAAAAAAAAGTATACGTCTCTCTCAAAGGGGATTTTTAAATTAATGAGAAAAATTGAGATGAAAAATATAAAAAAATTGTTATAATTAAATGTATATATATATATAGTAAAAAAGAGAAATTTATATACCTTGACAGTCCTTTGTGCACAATTCCGGTTGATGATTGTGGCTTGTTGAATTACAAATAACAGAACATGGCCGACATTGTGTGTCAAAGGGACTGCAATATTCCGATGGTGAACATTTCTTTTGTCCACATTTCAAGCCATCGGGATTTAGTGTTGCAAAAGTGAAAGAGATCAGGAAAGACAGACATATTGTAGACAAAAACATGATTTTAATTTCTCTCAAAAAAAAAGAAATAAATTTTCTTTTTTTTTATTTTGATTTTTTTTATATTAAAAAAAAAAAATAACTAAAAATAGTTATTTTTTGTGCAAATCAATTATTTTCAAAAACATTGATTCGTGTCACATTTTTGATTTTTTTTTTTTTAACTGTATTCGAAGGGAATATCCTCGGGTGGATCCATGATCATCGAGGCATTTGAACTGTAAAAGAAAAAATTATCGATTAGTAAAAAATAAATTAATAGTAAAAAATAAATTAATTTCTATTAAAAGTTAACGATTCGTTAATTTTATTTCAAGAATATCGGAAAATTATGTTAAGTACATATGACTCAGGACATTGAAGAAACTGAAGTGAAAATAAGTTTTATGCACATATAATTTTATGCAGGTTGCGATAACGGTAATGTCATGTCTTGTAAATTATCGTATAAATAAATTGTCAGTATTCGTCAGCAGAATTTTTTTTTTTTTAAGAATAAAAATGGAATATTTCTCATTTTTTCATATATATGAATTTTTTTATTTTATTAAAATTTTATTTAAATTATTCGTAAAATTTGTAAAAAAAAGTTGTAATTAAAAAAAATTAAAAAACGATTAAAAATTATAATAATTTAACGAAAGAACAATGAAAATATAATTATTTAAAGATATTTTTAAAAGTTCATTGGGAAAAAAAAGTTAACTATTATTTTAAAAATAGAAAAAAAAATCATGAATGAATTCAAGACTTAATGTCTTCTTTTTTTTTTTTAAAAAAAGTAAATACAGGAAACGATAATTTTCTTCATAAGACAATTGCATTAAGATGCAATTCGTCATCGCATTTTTCTTACTTGTTGTATATAAAAAACCACATGTAATAAACATTTATAGTTTGAGACAGCCATTCATTTTTTTTTCATCAACGTAATTTTTAATTTTTTCAAATTGGCCAATTATTTTTTTATTTTATTTTAAAAAAAAATACTTTTCTGACATTCAAAAAAAATTTTTCCTATTAATTTTTTTTTACAAATATTTTTTTACAAATACTTATTTGAAATATTACTATTATTATTATTATTATTATTCTATTATTATTATTATTATTATTATTATTATTATATTATTATTATTTATTATTTACTTATTTAGAAATATTTTTTTATACATTTATTTACAAATATTTATTTTATTAGAAAATAAAGAATTATTATTTGTAAAAAAAATAATTAGGAAAATTTTTAGTATGCAATTAATATAAAATCGCGATTGATTTGCATAAACAATAGCAATTTTTTTTTTTTTTTTTTTTTAATATACACTAGACTCTCCAATGACCGGATGTACTCACGGATGTGAATGCGTAGGACGTTGTGATCAGTGATCATTTCACGCAAAGCCATGTTGAAATCTCTCAACTGAGAACAAAATCCACATTCACCTCCATTCACGTGACAAGAAATTGATATTAAAAAAAAATCATCCACCGTAAATTTTAATTTTTTTTTTTTTTATGAAAAATAATTCAAAATTTTAAATTAACTTCCCGCCGTTAATGAAAATGAAAAATAAAATAATAATTTATAATATAAAGACAGTAAGAAATTTTGGGAAATATTATTTTTCGTAAATAAAATAAAAAAAAAAAATATATTAAAAATTAAAAAAGTGCATTATTGTCTCCTCTGTGTATATAAAAGTGTTAACTTTCAAAAAAGAGATACTATGGGTTGATTTCATGAGGTTGGAGAGGAATGTTACCTGACTGGTTTCAGAGGAGACTGAAGAGAATATAATATACGTAAACCTTCATTATAGTAACGTTGGTTATATTCTTTTGCTACAGTGAAGTCACTATATAGCTCTCTCGAATAACGAAATCGAGACATTGTCAAGAGACTATCGAAGTCTCCGAATAAGCCATACACAATCGGTGGCACGAATTTCTTAACCGCTAATCCTTGCAATTTCTCACGTACTCGCGATAAAAAAAAAACAGTTTTTCCTATCGCTATTCTGATTTGCAAATTTTCTTCTCATTTTTTTCTTGAAAAATATTTTTATCCTCTTCTTCATTAATTATTAGCTATTTTATTATTAATTTATTGATTTATAAAAAAAATTAATAAAGGAATAATAATTATATTATTATTAAATTAATAAAATATTAAGAATAATTATTATTAATTAAATAAATTAATTAAAAATAATTAAATAATTAATAAGGAAATAATAATTATATTATTATTAAATTATTATTATTAATAATAATTATTAAATAATAATTTAATAATTTATTTATTTATAAATTTATTAATAATTTGTTAGCAATAACTGAAAATTAACTAATTTAATTAGATACACTAATTATATATTTTTTTTAATACGTATTATAACAAAAACTAAATAAATTATTCAGAAATGAAGAGAATTTTAGAATCATTTTGATTTGTACGTAAAAAAAACATGAAATCAAGTTTATTTTGAAACGCGAGTTATATAAGCTGATTGTAATTAATTTAGCATCTAATTAGCCATTATTAGCTTCGAGTAGGAGAGAATAATCGCAATAGATTTTTTGATGATAAATAAAATGCTGTCAGGAAAGTTTGTTTTTTTTTTTTTAAATCGAGAATCTAAAGACTGTAATTACAATGCCAATTGTAAATGCAATGACTATTATTATAAAATTATATTTTTAATTATTGTAAATTTTTTTATTACTTTCTTCGATTAAAAAACAAATTTTCTTTTGTCTAATTTTTTTTTATATAAAATGAAATTTCTAATTTTATGAAAAACAGAAATTTCAAATATTTATTTTTAATTTTTATTATTTAATTGTTTATAAATTAACATTTTATTTAACTAATTAATTAATTTTTGTTTTGGTATAATAATATTAATAATAATAATTACCTATGTACGTAAGGTAAAATTTTGAAATAAATAAATACCTAATAATAATTTATTTAAAAATATATAAAATAATAATAAACTCGATAGTTTTCCTTTTTTGGATTCCAGACTTGTTGGAACAAACATACCGTGACGCTACTGCGTACTTGGTACCAAACAACGTTTCCTAAATTATTCAAAATTTTTGCTTTTTAAATTAAATTTTTTTTTTTTAATCAGTGAATTAAATTATTTTAAATGAATTATTATTAACATATTTTATTAATATTCATTATTGCTATTAATAATAAATTTTCATAATTATTAATAATAATTTAACATTATTATTAATAATTACTATTATTAATAAAAATAATTATTAATGATAATTATAATTATTAATAAAAATAATTATTAATATTATTAATAATTATAGGTAATTATTTTTATTAATAATTAAAATTACTATTACCAATATTATAATGAATATTATTTAAAAAAAGTTTATTAATATTAATTTAATAACAAATTACAATAAACAATATGTTGCAAAATTGTAATATTTACAGTACGTTATGCTTTCATCAGCATATTGTTCTTTTTTTCTCAAACAATTTTACTCACAGTCCATAAGAAGTCAATATAGAGTAACAAGTGGCACAGAATAAAAAAAAAAATACACAATAACAAAAAATTTTTAAACAATGTGGAAAAATCACCCCCCCCCCCAAAAAAAAATGTAAAAATAGATTATTAAAAAAAAACTTACAAGCACTTCACAAATAGTCACATTATTATTGTTTAAAAAAAAAATTGTAGTTATGGTCGTTCACCGACTTTCTATACGAGACTGTCGATCGAAGGAGCACCGGAATACCCGGAGCTGTAAACGTAAACCTACAGGTCAGGTTTGACTCCCACCTTCCAAGAGTCAACCTCTCTCTCTCACTCCCCCCTTCACTATACACCTGCGATCGCGTAGGTTGCCCCTGCCATTTTTATATTTACCTGTTGCCAGTTTTTGTGCGCAAGTCAAAAAATCACACAGAATTTTTTTAATTTTCAAAAAAAGAGCGGAAATTTCATTTTTTTCCACTTAATTTAATTTTAATTAAAAAAAAAATTGCAATTTTATATGTATTTTTCAGTGCAAGTGTAAATAATTTATATTTTTATATTTTTATTAGAACTGTGCAAAATAAATCGAACCGAACTGTTCGAATTTTTACGTCAAGTTCGAATGTCGAAAATTCGACAAGCGAGTCAGCCCAGTTCGAATGTCGAAATTCAACATTCGAGTCAGCTCAGTTCGAATTACAAATATTCGACATACGAGTCAGCCCAGTTCGAAATGTCGAAAGTTCGAAATTCGAGTCAGCGTCATTAACATCCGAACAAAATTCGATTCTATTCGAACATTACACAGCTCTAAAAAAATCGAAAAAAATTGATTATTCTTATTCTATTGCAATTTAGGTTCAATTGGTAGGTTTTTTTTGAAGGTTACCAATGTTGTTTTAAGGTAAAAAAATAATAGAGACATGCTGATTAATTTTATTTGAATTTTTTTCGAATTTATTCATTTTCCAGGAAAACATTCTATTCAAAAAAATGGAATAAAATTGATTATTCTTATTCTCTTACAATTTAGGTTTAATTGGTAGGTTTTTTTTGAAGGTAATACATGTTATTTTAAGGTAAAAAAATAATAGAGACATGCTGATTAATTTTATTTGAATTTTTTTCGAATTTATTCATTTTCCAGGAAAACATTCTATTCAAAAAAATGGAATAAAATTGATTATTCTTAGTCTAGTGCAATTTAGGTTCAATTGGTAGGTTTTTTTTGAAGGTTACCAATGTTGTTTTAAGGTAAAAAAATAATAGAGACATGCTGATTAATTTTATTAGAATTTTTTTCGAATTTTTTCATTTTCCAGGAAAACATTCTATCTAAAAAAATTAGACCTGTGCAAAATAAATCGAAACGAACTGTTCGAATTTTTACGCCGAGTTCGAATGTCGAAAATTTGACTTTCGAGTCAGCCCAGTTCGAATTACAAAAATTCGACATCCGAGTCAGCCCAGTTCGAATGTCGAAAGTTCGAAATTCGAGTCAGGGTCATTAAAAACCGAACAAAATTCGATTCGATTCGAACATTGCACAGCTCTAATTTTGATCCATTATAATTTTTTATTTTAGTAAGAATTAATAATTTTCTAACTCAGAAAAGGATTTATATTTAGAGAAAAATTTTTTATTTGTTTCAGAGATGAATAAATATTTATTTCAGATAAATTTTATTTGAGTTAAATAAATATTTTATTTTGCGCTAAATAAAATTTCATTTGTGTTAAATAAAATTGTATTTGTGCTAAATAAAATTTTATTTGTGCTAAGTAAATTTTTTTAATTATAACATAAAATTATGAGGCTCAGAAAAAATATATTTTTATTTGCTTCAAATAAACGCCAATAAAATATTTCTATTGGTGTAAGTAAAAAATAATTTAAAATTTAACAATTATACAATTATACAATTTTTAATCTTCAAATCCAATTTGTTAAAAAATAAAATTGTTTCTTCTGAGAACAGTTTTAGTTAAAAATTACTTTTTTACTAAAAATTATTTTTGTACTAAAAATTACTTTTTTACTAAAAATTATTTTTTTTTTTACTAAAAATCTAATTTTTTCCCAAAAATATAAAAAATATTGAAGCTTGCACAGAGAAATAATAAATATAAAATAATAAATATATATAGAAAAAATAATAAATCATCAAGCCAGAAATAAGAATTCATTTAATTTCGATTGAATCAGAAATGACGTGTGAAATAATAATTTACATACTCGTTATCAATGAAAGTCAATTAAATAATCGATTAATTTATTTGTCATTAATTTTAAAAAATTCAAAAAAAAAATAGAAGGCTTTTAGGTATTACAATTACAATAAAAAATACATTAGAATTATACTGGGATGACGATATACATATTTATTGCATATTAAAGATCCATGTACAAAGATATAACAATGATCCTCGCCTAAGAGTGCTTACATGTATTACAGAGTTAATTTTTATTTATTTATTTTTTTTATTTTCATTTTTAATCCGATCGCAATACAGGACGCGAATGAATCGTTGCTGACAATGAGAGGATATGTCCCAAAAAATTTTTTTTATTATCTAATGAACTTTTTTTTTTTCAATCAACAAATATTCTTAACGTATTAATTATTAATTATTAATTATTAATTCGTTCTTTTTTATTATTAGTCACAAAACTCTCAAGTCAAGAGATTTCTCAATAATTTGCCTCCAAAATTAAATATAGTGATAAATTTACTAATTTTTTTTTTTTACAAATTTTACAAGAAAATTTTCCTTTTTTTTCCCTGGGGACCTGATTTATAAAAACAATTCTCATTATTAATTATTCGAATTCATATTTTCATTCACTTTTTTTTCATTTTTACAAATCTTTTATAGATTTATATTTTGTTTTCTATACAATCTCATTTGTTACTTTTATTTTATTTAATACAGAAATTCTTTGCAATTTATTTCCATTATTAAATTAGAATTTTTTTTTTTTTTTTTTTTAATAAAATATAAATTATTAATTTAAATTGTCACTAATTTAAATTTTGATTAATGGAATATAATATTGTAAAAGAATTTATTTTTTGTTTCTAGCGAAAAGATTCGTAATCGTCGATGAAGATTTATACATTAGATTTTTTTTGAGATATTTATTTTCAAAAGGCAAGTCATCGAATCGGAATAAAATTTTACTATGGAGATTTTTGAAATTTAAAATTGGAAAAAAATTTCCAAATTGTTTTTTCACGATTCGAAGCCTTGGTAAAATATTTTTTTTATTGTGCGTTTTTTAAATCGATCGACTGGTTTTTTTTTTATTATTCCTCGCTCGATATCTATCGTAGACACCCTGTATTAAATTTTTTTTCATTCATTTGTTCCACTTAGGGTCTAACATTTTTTTTTTTTTTTCTTAACATTAATATTTGTTTGTCTATTATTATTTGGAAAAAACACTAGCCTACGAAGCACGCATTGGGGTATTAAAGGTTAGTCTAGGACTTGTGTACCTTTTTTTTTCTTTTTTGCCAATAATTAGAATGTAACGACATTTTTTTTTTTTGTTTTTAATACTGATGCATTCTAATAATTAAAAAATTGCATTCTTTTATTCTCTTTCTCATACATTCGATTTTTACATTCATTTTTTTTTTCTTACACTCTTATAATATAATATATTTTTTATAACAGTTCACAATATTCTCTCACTAGAAAGTAGAATATATTTTCTACAAAATGAAAGTGTCACCGTTTTTGCTCAGTGTCATTTCTACTTTGTAGCACTTAAAAAAAAAATAATAACTTTGAAAGAGTCAATCAGTAGTGAGGCTTTGTTTTTATTTTTTAAGAGAAATTATTTTAATTTTACTATACAATTAATCCGTTGATTCGCATATTTGATATTGCGATTGACGAGACAGTTTAGGGTATTAAATTTCTTAAAATATTTTTTAAAAAAATTTTTTAAGAAATTTTTTTTTAAATTCCCCAAAAATAAAAGGAAATATTTATTCGGACAGCGATATAGGATAGATTTGAGAGAGAAAGAGAAAGAGAGAGGAGATGTAAATTATTTTTTTTTTTTTTTGATACAAGTGTTTAAATAGGGATTAAGATCAGATTTTAGTATTTTATATTATATAAATATCGAAAAAACAAAAAAAAATTGACGGAAAAGACTGTTTTCGGTGCATTAGCAAAAAAGCGAAATTGCAAAAATAATCTTTCGAACAATAAGTTCGAAAGCAGACAGTCGCTCTAAGTTTATCACATGACGCTTCGTCTATTTTGTCTCAAATTTGTGCTCTATCTTTTAGACTCTCGTCTCTTCAAGAACAAAATTTTACTTTTTTTTTTATTTATTTATTATTTAGTTTTTTTTTTTTTTAATCAGAATTTCGCTCTTAATGGATACTTTTTTTTCCCAACATTATGAACACTCCAACCAATTGAATCCACTTTTAAATTGGTTGATATTTTTTAAAAGTGCCAAAAAATTTTTCGATTTCACCAAAGTCCATTCATTTTCATTTCTAAATTTATTTTATATCGAACTTGTATTTTTTTAAAATTAAATTTTTGTTTTAAAAATTTTTTTTTGGCAAATTTAATCCAATTTTAATTATTTTTCGATTTCATTTTAATTTATTCTCTTTTTTTCTTGCTATTTCATTCCAATTTCATTACAGTTTCATTACAATTTCAATTTCGAATTCAAATCGTGGAATTTCTCATTTTCTAATTAGCAAATCCTTAACTGGCTTCTGTGTGCCATTATTGATTGAAGTAATCAAACGCCTTGAAATTAGAATGAACTACGAGGGGTTTGAAGAAATGAAAAGACAGAAATTAGCGTTCCGTTACCGTCTCATTTTATTTTTTTTTTATTGTTCTCATTCAACAGACGTTGGTGAAATCGTCGTGTGCAAATATATATATATATATATATATATGAAAAAACATATAAATATTCTATGTTTTTTCATATTTGCACTTTTTTTTTTTTCAACTTCGGTGATTATAATAATACAAAATATATTTTATTAAAATTTAATATCGTTAATTGTCGTGTTATATATATAATTATTTTTTATATATATTTATATATATATTTCTTTAATATAACTCTCAACGATAACTCTTTAACTTGGCGTCTGTTTTATGTATTTTTATTTGAAAAAAAAGAAGTCCATATTGGAATTAAAATTGATTGACCGCCATCAAAATTAATTTCCAAATTAATGGGACAATATTGACAAATTTGAATAATTGTCTGGCCTAAATAGACATATTTACACAAAAGGCCGAACATTTTCGTTATTTTTCAAAAAAAAAAAGGGAATTTTTTTTCTGACGCCAATCAAGGAATTATCGTATAAGTTTTTTTTTCACGTTTCAAATTCACAAATTTTTTTTTTTTTTTTCCATTAACACTAAAGTTTCAGTTCTAGAAAGCGCGTCTACTCTATATAACTATAAAGTGTTTTTTTTTAATTTTATTCTTTTTGCCTCCTTTCGCACTTAAAAAGTGTAAACCTTTAAAAAATACACGAATAATTCTCGTGCTCGTCGATGACAATTTTTTTTTTTTTTTTCAGGACAAGGGGAAATAAATAAATGAAAAAATATATCATTAAAAAATAGGGAGGAAGGGGGGGGGAAGGGGGTTTATTATATCCTCGACGAGATTATAATTATAATACATCGCGTAATTTTTTTTTTTGCCTCGAATTATTTTTATCCAAACATTTTTTTTCTATTCAAAAAATCTCGCATTTTCACCTAAAAAAAAAATTTCTATATACAAGTCTATACACAATATAGACTTTTTTATATATAAATCAATCACACACACTCTCTCTCTTTTTTTTCCGATTGCCGCAATTGCCACATTCGTCAAATAGCCTTATACATTTCTTTTTTTTTCCAAAGAAAAAAATTATTTTTTCATATCGTTTTTTTTATTTTTTTTTTTTAACTATATGAGATCATAATGACTATAACGAAGAAGCCGCCCGAGAATCGCGAATTCAATCGAGCATCTATCAAAAAGTTTTTTATTATCACAAATCACTATGAGCGAAGCGCAATAAATTAACTAATAAATAAATCTCAAGTTTATAGAGGTTACATTGAATTTTTTTTTTTTTTTCGTTTTTTTTTTATATAATATTACGATATAAGTATAGATAGTCTAAAAATTCACTTGATGCATTTCTTCGAAAAAATTTTTTTTTTTCGATGATAGAAATTTCCTTTCACACAATAAAGAAGGAGATTAAAATATAATTATTGAATGAAAGGAAATTTCTTATATAAATTTGCAAAAATTTTTCTCCCCCGAAGAAATAGGATCTTGAAACATCGAGAGAATTTGGTGCGACCGACACGATCGGCTCCTTCGTCCCTCGGTACTTCGAGGGGGCCCCTTATACTAATTCGTATATATATATATATATATTTTTTTTTTTTACGCAATAATATATTATTTAATATGTTCTCAGTTTGTTCTCCCATATCTCCAAGTATTTTATTTATTTATATTTATTTATTTATATATATATTTATTTATATTTGAAAATCGCAGACCAGCCTCTGAATTCGATTATAATCAATAATAATTGTCAAATGACAATTTGTTTTTTTTTGCCAGAGAAAATTATTGCATTTTTTTTTTATTTTTCTGTCAAAATTTCGCTTTTGAGAAGTTGAATTATTTAAAAAAATTTTTTGTTTGAAAGGAGGCGAATAATTGACGAGACAACAGACACATGTATGAGGACTAGACTGGCCTAAGTTTTTTTCCAGCATTTTTTTTTTTTTTTTTTTTTGAAACAAAAACTGAATTTTCATTAACAAAAAAAGGAATTCGTCTTTTTGAAAATGAAAATTACATTTTATTCGATATAAAATTGGTAAATAATTTTTACATAGAAATTTTCTAGGGGTTAGCAAAATTTTTTTTTTAAACTCTGGAGAAAATTTCGATAATTTTTTTTTTCAAATTTTGTTCTTTTTAGATGGAAAAATGCTGGAAACATTTTGGTCCATACTTGTGTTATGGACGGAGTCTCGTCAAAAATTTTTCTTTATCTTTTGACAGAGAGAGAGAGAGAGAAAGAGAGAGAGAGAGGGTAAAAATAGACAAAAAAAAATCAAAAAAATGTTTTTCGAAAATTCAACAAAAAACGAACTCGAAAATTGACGAGGATCGTTATTATATTTATAAGCCTGCGCATAATTAGCGCATCGGTCACACATTCAATCTTTTCTTTTTTCATACTCTCGTTCTCCCCCATCAAGGTTGGAGAATATTTTTTTTTTTTTTTTTATATTTATAATAATAAACGTACATATGTATAGTGCTCGCACACGTATTTTGTAGACATGTAGAAAATGGAAAAACATGTATTCATCTACACACAGTGGTTTCATTATTTTTATTAGATATTAGATAATTATTATTAATATTAATTATTATTAATTATTATTATTTTTTTTTTTTTTGTTTTGCGTCGAGTTAACCAAATGAACCGCAAAAAATTAAAAAAAATTGGGTTCTTCTTAATACTAGTGTGAATTTGAAAAAAAAAATTTACGACACTATGTGGCATAAAGAAAAAACGTAGCGCCATTGCTATTTTCGCTTTGGTCAGCCAGTCGGCGATTCTTTAGATCCAAAAATTCACGAACAGATCCCAAATTAAGGGTCGTCAGTCAGTTTTCTTATTGGTCCTATTTTTGCATAACAAAGTCAGCCATTTTTTTTAATTTTTTCTTTAAAATTTCTTTTTTTTATTGGTCTTTCTTCCCTTTGGCCTTCTTATTTTTCTTCGTGTCTTCGTTTTTATTTCTCCTCTTCGCCTCTTGAAAACGAGGTATGTATTTTATTTTGTAAATTATTCCATAAAATTCTGTTTCGAATTTTATTTTCCAAATTGTGAATTATTTTCAATAAAGTATTTTTGAAAATTCTTTTTGAAAATTCTTTTTGAAAATTCTTTTTGTAAATTGAAAAATAGTGGTAAAAAAGTAGGCCAAGGGAAGATTATTTAATTTTTTTTCGAAAAAAAAAAGAAAATTCTTTTAAAGGTCCCATTCCTCGTGGCTGCCTTTGCATAGAGTCCAGCAACCCGAGGATGTCGAACGAACGCTGCTACGGTGACCGCCATTACTGTTGTTATTTTCAATAGTGAGATTATCAGCACCATAGAATACAATTGTTGTTAATTCGTTGACATCAGCGGGCTGCTGGTTTCCCTATACTCAAATATTGGACGAATTCGTTTGTTGTTGTTTGAATTCATTTTTAGGTGTTGAAAAACGTTTACTATCGTCTAATGGCGATGGCGATGCACCACCATCCTCTGGCCTTGTCACTGGTACTGGTACACCATTATTAACAAAATGCGTTAATCTTGTTGGTAATGAACCCGAATTTAATTGATAGAATTCAATTAATTGTAAAAGATCGTAAAATTTCGTCGCACCTTTGTCCAATGTATAAAGTACGCATTGTCTTTCATTATCGAACACCTGAATTACCTGAAACAAAAATAGAAACATTTTTTTTTTATTATTTAACAGAGAATTTTTTATATTTTTTTTTAAATTAAATTTTCTTTCAAAAAATTTTTCTTTTTAGGGGAAAAAAAAAATTTTTCCTCTTCTTGGAGTCTGACAATAAAATTTATTGTGAAAATTGAAATTGTTGTTTTTATCGCATAATTTGGTAAATTGTTTTTTTATTTATTTTTGTATATTATTTTATTTTTATTGTTTTATTATTATTTTTTTTAATTTAATTTTTTCTTAATTTTATTTATATTACATTGTTAATTAATTTATTTTTTTTTTGTTAATTTTTGTCTCATTTTTTTATTCTAATTTTAAATTAAACAAATTAATTACTATTAGATTTAGATTTATTTCTCCATTGTGTACTTTTACAAACATAGAAACCAAATTTTTTTTTTATTATTATTTAACAGAGACTTTTTTATAATAGATTTTTTTTTAAATTAAATTTTCTTTCAACAAATTTTTCTTTTTAGGGGAAAAAAAAAAATTTTCCTCTTCTGAGAGTCTGACAATAGAATTTATTGTGAAAATTGAAATTTTTGTTTTTATCGCATAATTTGGTAAATTGTTTTTTTATTTATTTTTGTATATTATTTTATTTTTATTGTTTTATTATTATTTTTTTTAATTTAATTTTTTCTTAATTTTATTTATATTACATTGTTAATTAATTTATTTTTTTTTTGTTAATTTTTGTCTCATTTTTTTATTCTAATTTTAAATTAAACAAATTAATTACTATTAGATTTAGATTTATTTCTCCATTGTGTACTTTTACAAACATAGAAACCAAATTTTTTTTTTATTATTATTTAACAGAGACTTTTTTATAATAGATTTTTTTTTAAATTAAATTTTCTTTCAACAAATTTTTCTTTTTAGGGGAAAAAAAAAAATTTTCCTCTTCTGAGAGTCTGACAATAGAATTTATTGTGAAAATTGAAATTTTTGTTTTTATCGCATAATTTGGTAAATTGTTTTTTTATTTATTTTTGTATATTATTTTATTTTTATTGTTTTATTATTATTTTTTTTTTTAATTTTTTCTTAATTTTATTTATATTACATTGTTAATTAATTTTTTTTTTTTTGTTAATTTTTGTCACATTTTTTTTATTCTAATTTTAAATTAAACAAATTAATTACTATTAGATTTAGATTTATTTCTTTTACAAACTTAATTTTTGTCTCATATTAATGTGATTTTTTTGTATTTTTGTTTGTTGTTTTTCATTAATTTTTATAATTTTATTTATCATCACACTCAAATGCATTAAAATTGGAATACAAATTTAAAAAAAAAATTAATAAAAATTTTCTTTTTTTAAATTGGGTTAAATCAAATTAACTTTTTTGAATATTAATTTTAAAAAAATAAAATACTTACAGGTTGAATTTGTGCGTGAAAAACCTTGTCTCCGTATTTGTAGGTGAGAACATAGGATCCTGGATTACTTTTACTTTCTCTGACAAGGAATACACTGTAATAAAATAAAAAAGAACAAAAATTAAATTTTTTGAATTAAATATAAAAATATAATTCACAGAATTTTAAATTCGATTTTTTTAATAATTTAAAAAAAAAATTATTTAATTCAAATACTTGATTACTTGAATATTATTAAAATAAATATTTACTTGAAGTGAATAATTTTTATTTAAATTAAATAAATTGTATTTGAAGCAATAATTTCTGTATTTGTAACAAATACATAATTATTTGATACAAATAAATAACTATTTGGTACAAATACTATTTATTTAATTCAGTAAAAAATTATTTGGATCAAGTAAATATTTGTTAATAGTCAAGTAATCGATTATTTGAATCAAATAAAAAATTTTTTTTCACTAGTTAATAATTAATTAATTCAAATAATTTAAATTATTCGGCAAATGTAATTAAAGAAATTTTTTTTATTAAATATAAAAAAGGAAATTATAAAAAAATATATGGGAGAATGAATAAAACATTGAAACAAGAGTCAAAAAGTCATTCGTTCATTGAAACGAAACACGTCTATAGAGTGCCTGTCCTTTACACTGACGATTACACCTCGAACTTTTAATTAACCCCAATAATAATTAATTGACTTCGTATCCGATCTCTTCCAACGAGGAATCATTCTCTTCGTTTATGAATCGTTATTTATTATTGTTTTTTAAAATGATATATTTAAAATGAAAATTGAGATTTTTTAAATTTATTTATTTTTTTTTTTTTTGAAAAAGAAATTCGAAATTAAAAAAAAGGACAATTACCCATCAACTGAGCCACGATCCCTGATGATAGCGGCAGCAATTTCCCTCTTGAGATCACCATGAAACCATGGTTGAGATGTGTGAATACTATTATCCACGTGGATTCTGGTCATATTAGAACCGGGCGATCTTCGTGAAAATGGTCGCCACCTTCGTTTCCAAATGACACCCTCACTCTCAGCGATATCCTTTGCCTCTTTTGGATCCTCAACTATTCTACCGACACTACCCGTAAAATCCATCGCCACCCTCGATCGAATTGATTCCTGTAACAAAAAATAGAATTCCCCCAAAAAATTAATTTATTTCCAAAAATATATTTAAAACATTTTTTTTTAATAACAATTTTAAATATGCTCAAATAAATGAATAGATAAATATTTTATTTTTGTAGTTTTTTATTCTTTGTAGTTTTGTATTTTTTGTAGTTTTGTATTTTGGTAATTTTGTATTTTCATAGTTCTGTATTTTTGTATTTTTGTACTTTCGTATTTTTGTATTATTTGTATTTTGGTAATTTTTTTATTTTTGTACTTTCGTAGTTTCGTATTATTTGTATTTTGGTAATTTTGTACATTTGTACTTTCGTAATTTTGTATTTTGTAGTTTTTAATTTTTTGTATTTTTGTAATTTCGTAGTTTTGTATTATTTGTATTTTGGTAATTTTGTATTTTTGTACTTTCGTAGTTTTGTAGTTTTTAATTTTTAGTATTTTTGTAATTTCGTGGTTTTGTAATTTTGGTAAAATTGGTATTTTTGTACATTCGCAGTTTTGTAGTTTTGTATTTTGGTAATTTTTTATTTAAGAAGAACTTATATATTATTAAGACTTATATTGAACTTGAACTCTTAAGGTGCCAACCTAGCATTTAATATTTTTATATAATGTTATTATTGTTTAAATAATACTTAGAATTAGGAGTACTTTTTGTACGAAAGGGCTTGTCCCGTCAATTTAATAAATAAATAAATAAATAAATTTCAGTATTTTTGTACTTTCGTAGTTTTGTATTTTTGTATTTTGTAGTATTGTATTTTCGCAGTTTTGCATTTTAGTACTTTCGTAGTTTTGTATTTTTTGCATTCTGGTAATTTTGTATTTTGAAGTTTTTTTATTTGTTTTAGTTTTGTATTTTGGTAGTTTTGTATTTTCGTAGTTTTATAGTTTTGTAGTTTTGTATTTTTGTTCTTTCGTAGTTTTGCAGTTTTGTATTTTGTAGTTTTGTATTTTAGTATTTTTGTACTTTCGTAGTTCTGTAATTTTGTATTTTATAGTTTTTTATTTGTTGTATTTTGGTAATTTTGTATTTTCGTAAGTTTGTACTTTCGTAGTTTTGTATTTTGTAGTTTTTAATTTTTTGTATTTTTGTAATTTCGTAGTTTTGTAATTTTGGTAAATTTGGTATTTTTGTACATTCGCAGTTTTGTAGTTTTGTATTTTGTAATTTTGTATTTTAGTATTTTTGTACTTTCGTAGTTTTGTATTTTTGTATTTTCGTAGTTTTGCATTTTTGTACTTTCGTAGTTTTGTATTTTTTGTATTCTGGTAATTTTTTATTTTTGTATTTTGTAGTTTTTTTAATTTGTTTTAGTTTTGTATTTTGGTAATTTTGTATTTTCGTAGTTTTGTAGTTTTGTTCTTTCGTAGTTTTGTATTTTGTAGTTTTGCATTTTTGTACTTTCGTAGTTTTGTATTTTTTGTATTCTGGTAATTTTGTATTTTGTAGTTTTTTTATTTGTTTTAGTTTTGTATTTTGGTAATTTTGTATTTTCGTAGTTTTGTATTTTTTGCATTCTGGTAATTTTGTATTTTGTAGTTTTGTATTTTGTAAATTTGTATTTTGTATTTTTGTTCTTTCGTAGTTTTGTAGTTTCGTATTTTGTAGTTTTGTATTTTAGTATTTTTGTACTTTCGTAGTTTTGTAATTTTGTATTTTATAGTTTTTTATTTTTTGTATTTTAGTAATTTTGTATTTTCATAAGTTTGTGTTTTCGTAGTTTTGTATTGTTATAAATTTGATATTTTTGTACTTTCGTAGTTTCTTAGTTTTGTTTTTTAGTAATTTTGTATTTTGGTAATTTTTTTTTTTTTTGAAAGTAAAATTCTTTTTTTTAATTTAAAGAAAATAACTTTTTTTTTTAATAAAAAGAAAAATAAATAAAAATTAGTAACAAATTTTCATGGAAGAAATAATAATTTTTTTTTTTTCGTTTAAGAATTTTATCAGAAACAGTACGGAATTAGATAGCGAGAGCACTTGATTTACAAATGATTATGAATCGTAAATTTCCTCCTCTGAATCGAGAAAATAGGTTTACGATCGATTAAAATTTTATTTGCCAGAAAGTCGAGTATTTCTCTTTTCTTTCAAAAAAAAAAGTAAAAACAGAAAGTGGGCGGCGCTATATAATTATCGCTGGAAAATCGTGCATATAAAATAAATTATTTATTATAGTAAAAATAATAATTTATTACCAAGAAAAAAAATATAAAAGGTCCATGGGTCACTAAGCATCACACATTATTGTGACAAGATATACAAGTATTTATATATTTAAACATGTACGTGTATAATACAAACGGAGAATTAATAATGCAAAAACACAATAGATTGTAAATCATCAATGTACACACACACATATTTTGTTTCTGCAATTGTGTAACCGTTTTGAATTATAAATCTTCTTATGTGAATATTTTTTTTTTATTTCTACATAGAGTGAAAAAAATTTTTTTTTTTACTATTATCAAATAAATATTTACTTGAGACAAATATTTTTTATTTAAATCAATTTCTTTGATATAGAGAAATAAATTTTATTTCTTTCAAAAACAGAAATAAATTTTATTTCTTTCAGATATATAAAAATAAATTTTATTTGTTTCGAGTTCAGAAATTTTTGGTTTAAAAATAGTTTATTTGATTTAAATAAAAATTAGTTGATACAAATAAATATTTATTTGATAAACAGTCAAGTAACCGATTATTGGAAACAAAAAAATTTTTTTCAGTGTATTTATTAAAAAAATTAAATTTGAAATTTATATTTTTATATTTAATTCAATAATTTAATTTTTGTTTTCTTACAGTGCATTTCTTGTCAGAGAATACGGAGACAAGGTTTTCAACGCACAAATTCAACCTGTAAGTACCTATTTTATTTTTTAGAAATTAATATTCCAATGATAAAACTATTCCCAAATGAGTAATGAAAAAAAAAAAATAGAAACCAATCCATTTAAAATTCGAATCTATTCTTTGCTCATTAAATGTCGATCGTTTTTGAGATGCACACAAGAAGAAATTGAGAAAGCTCGATTAGCGAGGGTGCAATTTGCAATTTTCCCTCCAATGCACGTATAAGTGATCGGGCATATCGAATCGACAATTCGTTTTCTATATGTATATATATATATATATAGTGAGAGTGTGGAAGCAAAAAGGATTGGCGGGTTGTCTAAGAGAAGAGGATTACTATTAAAGCCTTGCAATCGCTTTAGGCCACGTTCAGAAACGACTATGACGACAACGACGACGACGACTTGGGTTTCAAGCATCGTCGCGATTAAACTCGATTACTTCGTCTGTCTCGTCGTCATAGCTATCTTCCTGAAAAGCTCCCATCGCGCTTGAAGCTTTCGACCTGAATATTTCAGAAAATCCATTGATATATATATATATATACCAATGGACGGGAGCTTCGTCAGCTCGTCGTTTTCTAAAAGACTTAGCTTAATCCAGGTTTTAATCTGAGTCCTTGAGGCTATGCAGACATTTGCGAAAAAAAAAATCAGTTGGAAAAATATAACTTTTTGACCAATAACACGAGAAATGTTACATCCACCTTATTTCCAAAAGTTATACAAAATTTTACGATTTTAGATTAACCCTTAAGGTTGTGTAGAATGACCTTTAAAATTTAGTTAGAAATTTTATAGTTGTAGATTAATATTTAAGATTGTGTAGAATAAAATTTACAACTGTAGAGTAACCTTAAAGGAAGTGTAGAATAAATTTTATAGTTGTGAAATAACCCTTAAGGTTGTAAACTTAATTGTAAAATTAATTGTAAAATTAATTATAAACAAATTGTAGTTTCAAATTCACCTTTAAGGTTGTGTAGAATAAATTTCACAGTTGTAAATTAACCTTTAAGGATGTGCAACAAATTTTAAGGTTGTAAAATATAGTTCAAGGTTGTAGGACAAACTATATAGAGTTGTAAATTATCCTTCGAGATTGTAAAGAATTTGATGAGCTTGTAAACTTAACTTGATGGTTCTAGAACAAATTTTAAGGTTGTAGAATAACTTCGAAAGAAGTAAAATACAATTTTAGGTAGTAAAATACCTTTTTAGGTAGCAAAAACTACCTTTTTAGGTAGTAAGATACCTTTCTAGGTAAAAAACTACAATTTTAGGTAGTCAAGTTACAATTGTAGGTAGTGAAATACCTACCTACTACCTTTTTAGGTAGTAAAAATACAATTTAGGTAGTAAAGTACATTTTTAGGTATTAAAATACCTTTCTAGGTAGTAAAATATATTTTTAGCTAGTAAAATACCTACCTACTACCCTTTTAGGTGTGAAAATACAATTTTAGGTAGAAAAATACCTTTTTAGGTAGTAAAATTACAATTTTAGGAAGCAAAGTTACAATTGTAGGTAGTAAAAACATTTTTAGGTAGTAAAATACCTACATACTTCTTTTTTAGGTAGTAAAATACAATTTTAGGTAGTAAAATTAATATTTTAAGTAGGGAAGTTACAATTGTAGGTAGTAAAATAACTACCTACTACCTTTTTAGGTAGTAAAATTACAATTTAGGTAGTAAAGTACGTTTTTAGCTATTAAAATACCTTTTTAGGTAGTAAAATACATTTTTAGGTAGCAAAATACATTTTTAGGCAGAAAAATACCTTTTTAGGTAGTAAAATTACAATTTTTGGTAGTAAAGTTAGAATTGTAGGTAGTGATATACTTTTTTAGGTAATAAAATACAAATTTTTGGTAGTAAAATACTTTTTAGATAGTAAATTTACAATTTTGGGTAGTAAAGTTACAATTGTAGGTAGTAAAAAACATTTTTAGGTAGTAAAATACAATTTTAGGTAGTAAAATTAATATTTTAGGTAGGAAAGTTATAATTGTAGGTAGCGAAATACCTTTTTAGGTAATAAAATATAATTTTGGGGTAGTAAAATTACAATTTTAGGTAGTAAAATACCATTTTAGGTAGTAAAATTACAATTTTTTGTAGAA